GTGACAGCATCATGCTGTGGGGGTGCTTTGCTGCAGGAGGGACTGGTGCACTTCACAAAACAGATGGCATCATGAGGAAGGAAAATTAGTTAAAGCTTGTTCGCAAATGGGTCTTCCAAATGGACAATGACCCCAAGCATACTTCCAAAGTTGTAGCAAAATGGCTTAAGGACAACAAAGTCAAGGTATTGGAGTGGCCTTCACAAAGCCCTGACCTCAATCCTATAGAAAATGTGTGGGCAGAACTGAAAAAGCTTGTGCGAGCAAGGAGGCCTTCAAACCTGACTCAGTTACACCAGCTCTGTCAGGAGGAATGGGCCAAAATTCACCCAACTTATTGTGGGAAGCTTGTGGAAGGCTACCCGAAATGTTTGACCCAAGTTAAACAATTTAAAGGCAATGCTACTAAATACTAATTGAGTGTATGTAAACTTCTGACCTACTGGGAATGTGATGAAAGAAATAAAAGCTTAAATAAATCATTCTCTCTACTATTATTCTGACATTTCACATTCTTAAAATAAAGTGGTGATCCTAACTGACCTAAGACAGGGAATTCTTACAAGGATTAGATGTCAGGAATTGTGAAAAACTGAGTTTAAATGTATTTGGCTAAGGTGTATGTAAACTTCCGACTTCAAATGTATGTCAATACAACAGGTCGAAATGATTACAAGAAAGGGGCTCTGGGATTGTTTACTTTAGAAGGTGCCTATTCCGCTTAATGGGACACTGTATCTTCTGATGTGTCTGAATATGATTCTGTATACTCATGGTTTTATCAATACTTCCTGCCCAAGATGCAGTATGCTCGATTAAGAGTAAGAATTGTCAGGACTGATTAAGATGTAGCATAGTGCAAACTAAGTACGTGTATTTTCTGAATCAGTAATGCCGTAAACTAAACGGTTGTTCTGGTCTGTCCTCCCTCGAGGTTATGGTGAAGGTGACCACAGATGGTATCTAGATGCACGGAAGGGATAATTCGACCAAGAACAGTGTGAGCCTCACCCCCTCTAACCAGTTGTAGTAATGGCGACAATGGCGTTCACTATGGTCCTTCACCACTTCTGCCCGGAGACCTGAGTCCGAGCCAGCAACCTGTGCACAGCCTCCAGTCGAAGCTATCAACTGCCTTTTCTCTCCTGCCTTTTCTCTCAGGAGTGCGACATGAGTCCACGTGGAATGAGCATGGAGAGAGATCCCGTCCAAACTTCTCTCATGCTGCTGGTGTACTGGTAGGAAAATGGACAAGACATAATGGACCATAAAGGACAGTGGCGGCTCAGGTGAGAGATTCGTCTGCCTGGGGAAATCAGATTATTCCCCAGATATTGGAATCGGGACATTATCAAGGGCCATCCACTTTGAACGTGCCATTGGGAGGACAAACTGAAACACTGAAGAAGAAAATGAAGAAACGCCAGAAGAATGAGTGCCGGGAGGGAGGGGTTGGTCAACTGTGCCCGTAATTGATTTAGGCTTGTCCAAAATGGTTTATTTGGGGTATCAGGTTGATTGTGGAGGTCTGTACACTATGAAATGTATAGTAATTTAGACACAAAAAAATGCATTGATACCGATCTGTCATTAACATGCCACTCGTGACAAAAGCTCCAGCTGAAATGTCATTGCCAGAATCCATAAATGAAATTGTGTAATGAAGCATATGTGTAACTGTATGAAGCGAAGGTCTTAAGTTAAAACATTCTACTGCAATGGTTTTATAGGGAAGAGCTATGGAAACAATCTGAGTCTGCAGATCCCTTGTGCGTATTTTAGATTGTACAACCCAGAGTGAAGGGTTTGAAAGGATGAAGTGTCTGGTTTTACCTCAAGTTGTTGTAGCATCCTTTTGTTTACTTTTCATTTGAGTTGAATTCATTACAAATGGTAGTGCAGGGATTTTTCTTGTTTTCTGGTGATGAATCATGCTGTTTGTTCTCGATATTTGGGTGGTTTGATACAATTAGCTTCAAGAGGGTTTTTTCAAAGTCGCTGAAATTCTTTGAACGTTTTCTATTACCTCTGTCCATTGTTTGGTTTAGGTGACTTGCTCCAATTCCACACAATGCTTATGTATTAGTTTCCCCACCCCTGGTTTTTGACCCATCCTCTGGTCAGCACCAAGTGCACATCGTTAATCTAATCAGGATTCACAAAGATGAACTGGTTAGTCCTTACTTACCTTATTCTAGGACTCCCTAGTCTATAACTAATTAATCTAAGTAGAATTAACCTAGTTCTGACTTAAATTAAACTCTGTCTGGGATACTGCCCCTCAATGTTTAGTTGAGATCTAATGTGTGTAAAGTGAAGCGGGAGGGCAAACTATCATCTAATGACACACTTACCTGCTCCAAAAGTGGTCTGAGGCAGTCTTTACTTTACAAGCGTTTAAGTGCAACTTTAGTAACCATGGTTTTGGCAAACAGCTCAGGGCCCAGTTTCCCAAAAGCATTTTAAGGCTAAATTCATCGTTAGAACCATATGGTTCGAATGATGAACTTAGCCATAGAAGCCTTTGGGAAACCAGGCCTAGAGATATAACAATGCTCCTATGAAGGTTTTAACTATGAACAAAGCCTTAAGATGCTTTTGGGAAACCGGGCCCAGATCTAATTTGATTATCAATAGAACAACTTCACCTGACTTCAGAATATCAGGAATCACTGATTCATTTGTAAGCCAAATTAAAAACTCTGGGAAAGTGGAGTTTCACTTTTCCACACTGACCATAAAACAGACTTTCCTGATGTGCACTTGTTTGGATAAGCATCTACACAATCCACCCCTTTTCATATAAAGTGGACATAATTTACAGATAAAGAAGCTCTCAAATGATAATGCATCTCCCAAAAACAGAAATCACCCGAGACTATACAGTCCCTTTATTATAGACAAGTTCTACAATTACATTAGTTGGAGTAAATCAGAGATTACAGTACAGGTATGTCACAGTACATATTTTCATGCATGTAGTATTCCAATAGAATTAGGATGCTAGAATGGACATTAACCTTCTTATGGTGGGACAAAGGTCAGCCATTTTGGTCAGGGAGTTGGTCAACCATGGTTTGCCAGTGCTGTGATAAAATATTGTGTAAAATAATTAATTTGAAGAATGTATCTGCACTGTATGTTTGTTAGCTAGCTAGCCAGCTTTAGGGGAATGATTCAATACATTTTTCAAATTAACTGCCAATATGCCAACATTCCATTCAAACAATGCTGTCAATCCACAGCCTGTCTGAAATCAGTTGATGATAGTACTTAGACAAGTTGTAAATGCAACAAGTACTGATATTGTATCATATAATAGCACAATGTTGACATTTATGGCCTGTTTACATATATTTTAGAGCAGGGCTCTCCAACCATGTTCCTGGAGAGCTACCGTCCAGTAGGGTTTCGCTCCAACCCTATTCTAGCGCACCAGATTCAAATAATTAGCTGGTTGATAAGCTGAATCATTTTAGTTACAACTGGGGTTGGAGCAAAAACCTACAGGAGGGTAGCTCTCCAGGAAGAGTTGGAGAGCCCTGTTTTAGAGGCTATTTATACAGAGCATTTGCATAAAACCCGTATAAACGGTATTTATAATTATTTTACAATATTTTACAATGTCCAATATTAATACACAATTTCTGATATATCACATGCCTTACTTCTATTTTCCTGCATAAGTAAAATCAGGATTATGCCTCTACTGCCATCAATTCCAATAAGACTGGTTTGGATTTCTCCCTGACCAATATAGATGTGGTAAAGAGGTCAATGGAACGCAGACTGTCGGGGATAGAAGAACGGCGGATTGGCGCACATTCAACAAATCTGATCTAACAAAGTGGATATTCGTCAAATAAGTCATTGTTTATGTATTGTAACAGACTCACAATGTGGTTACTAAAGGCAGATTTGGATATAAATGTATGTGTCTGTTTTCGCTGCATAACATTTAGAAGTAGTCCCCTTTCAGGTTTAGAAGAAGTAACTGCTAAATCCTGTTCGTATTAGCTGGTAGCACCGCTAGCATAGAGAAATCGGTGGTGGTAGTCAGTCGTTGTTAACTGTAATGCAGTTATTGACGATGACATGAACATGTATTGGGGTTGACATCCATACAAGCATTATATATTTTTTTTTACCTCAACATAGTGTGAAATACACATATAAACAGCTTCAATGTAGGCAAATGTTGCAGGGGGGCAATGAGAAGATCCGGGATCTTTCCCTACGACATCTTTCCCCCATGCATTTCCATTGTTTTGGTCGAGTTCCATTGACCTCGTTACCGGATCTATGGCTGCCATTTTCATCACATTCTGGCGTTTTGAGGGTTGTTTATGACATAGCCCCTCTAGTAATTTAATAGGATCTATGAGTATTCCTATGAGTTGGTACACAGGAATAACGTGTCTAAAACCTCCAGGAATCAACCCTCACCACCCCCAATAGCTACAATAGAGAGGGGTCAATGTCAATTTAGTTAGTGTGGAGGTCCTAAAACGTCTTGCCTGAGTACAAGGTCATCTTTGTACCTGTAAAAGGTCCTGAGATAAATTAGGGTGGGAGAAAGGGACAAGACTGTCACCGGGTATAAAAATGGCTTTTTTTGTTACATTTGGGGCTAGTGGGAGAAAATAGCTGATTACGGAGAGTGCCTTTCTTTAGTCACTCTCAAGAGGTTGGGCCACCATTGCAACAAGGTTAAGGGCTTAAAGAAAGGGAACGCACTATGGGGTGTTGACTCGGTGTATCTCAATGGTCTAAAGTGACATCTCTGCCCATTCAAAAGAGCATGATAGGTGAAAACGAAACAGTGGACGCCCAGAGAATTTATTGGTCTTCAACTATCCAGTTCTTTCACATTTCCCAGACAAAGGAGAAGTGATGAGGAGAGGAAGCCATTTTAGACTATTGAGATACACCCTTCCGGTGTGTATTTAGTAGCTACGGCCAAACAGGGTGTAGTACTGGGCGGCCTCCTTTCCGCTGACACACATCTGGCCCGGCTGCAGGGGCTTGAGGGGCTTGAAGGGGATACACAGGCTCTTTGCACCCATGGAGGGGGCACGGGCTCCAGATCCTGGTCCCTGGAGAGGGGGAGAGAGAGAGAGAGACAGGATAGGAGTTAGGGAGTTGACATTTATTCAGCGTCATTCTACATTTGGTAACACTTCACTAAGAGACGATAATGCATGTTGATGCGATTATAAAGCATGCATCACGGTCATTGAGTGATACTTGAGTGAGACGTACTTGGCAGTGGTCTTCTTGATCCAGTCTTCACACTCGATTCCTCCACAGAAGGGGATCTGGACAATCTGTGGTCATCCCCCAAAATGTATTAAAATAATAAAAAATAAACGGTCAGTGTGTTTGTATTACTTAAGCCAGCCAGCCAGAAGTGAAGACTTCATATCATTTTATTTTTTAGAAGTATTTTTTGGAAAGTGGGGCAGTCCCACTCCTGTCAGTTTTCTTTAGCTTTATTGAAGAGATAGTACAGTGTGAAATGTAGAAGATAGGGGAAGGGTGAGTCAAAGGGCAGTGGGAGGAATACGAACCCATGCGGACTCTGGCTTACATGTGTGCCGGGGTGAGCGGCCGAAACTGCTGGACCACACAAGCCGACAGAGAAACAATGTAACTCACCCTGCCCTGGTCCAGGTCTTTCTGGAACTGTTCCATAGAGTCTGCTACCACCATGTGTTTGTTCAGGTCGTCTGATGCCCTGCGACACAGAAAAAGAGGAGATATTAGTCCAGGATTTGACAGGTCACACGGGTGTGTGTGGTGTACATTAGCCCCTGTGCAGTAGCTGAGAGAGACACACACACAGAGAGAGAGAGAGAGAGAGAGAGAGAGAGAGAGAGAGAGAGAGAGAGAGAGAGAGAGAGAGAGAGAGAGAGAGAGAGAGAGAGAGAGAGAGAGAGAGAGAGAGAGAGAGAGAGAGAGAGAGAGAGAGAGAGAGAGAGAGAGAGAGAGAGAGAGAGAGAGAGCGCATGTGTGAAGCATGTGTATATGCTGCTAATTCTTATACCTTTTGTGTGTGGTGTACCTAGAGGTTGGCCTTGATTTCCTCCAGTGTGTGTCCACACACTTGTATGCGTACGGGAATGTACATGCATTCTACCTCTTGAAGAGGTTGGTATGGATGTCCTCCAGTAGCTGTGTGAGCCTCTTCTCGGTGTCGGCCTCGGGCAGGGTGATCTTCTCCCCTGTGTCTCTCCTCACGGCCACACACTGACACTGCTTCAGGTCCTTAGGACCCACCTCCAGACGAATGGGCACACCCTTAGAGAGAGGGATGGATGGAGAGAGGGGGTGAAGAGAGAGAGAGGGATGGATGGAGAGGGGGGAGGAAGAGAGAGAGGGAAAGAGAGAGGGGAGAGGGAAAGAGAGGAGAGAGGGGAAGAGAGAACAAGAGGGAACGAGGGGGAAAGAGAGAGGGAAAGAGCAAGAGAAAAAGAGAGAGATGGAAATAGAGTTAGAAGTTTCCCTTCGATTAGACACCTAATATTGGACTGACGAGAAGTTTATCCCTGAAATCAACTAATTGTCAGTAGAACAATGGGACATGAGGCCCATGGACTACAGGTTCATTGTGGCAGTCATTTCGGCCAGTACGGTCCATTGTAGAGGAAGCACTGAATTTGACAAGGCTGCAAACCCCTAAAATTATAATATTATACACCATTCAGCAAATGCTTTAAAGAGACATACAGTACAGTGAGTGCATACATTTTTTGTGTATGACCCCAGCGGGAATCAAACCCACGACCCTGGCGTGGCTAGAGCCACGCTCTTACAAACTGAGCCAAACATGGCCAGGAGTGGTGGTACATTTTACTTCAACTACCTCAACTAGCCGGTGCCCCCGCACATTGACTCTGCACCGGTACCCCCCTGTATATATAGCCTCCCTACTGTTATTTTATTTTACTTCTGCCCTTTTTATCTCAATACATTTTGTTGTTTTATTCTACTTTTTTTATTAAAAATAAATGCACTGTTGGTTAAGGGCGGTAAGTAAGCATTTCACTGTAATGTCTGCACCTGTTGTATTTGGCGCATGTGGCCAATAAAATTTGATTTGATTTGATTTGGTTTTACCTTGAGCTCCCAGTGGTTGAACTTCCAGCCGGGGGAGTAGTTTTCTCAGAGGTCTGCCTTGACCCGGATCTCTCCCCTCTGCAGCCGGGCCAGGTACTTGGAGCACTGGGCCAGGAGAGCCGCCTCCTCAGCCTCGGGCAGGGAGGCCGTGATACCACATGGGATGATGATCACCTGGGTGAGAAGAGGAGCAGGAGAAGATGCAGAGTTACAGTGAGGGAAAACATTTTTTGATCCCCTGCTGATTTTGTACGTTTGCCCACTGACAAAGAAATGATCAGTCTATAATTTTAATGGTAGGTTTATTGGAGCAGTGAGAGACAGAATAACAACAAAATAATCCAGAAAAACGCATGTCAAAAATGTTTGATTTGCATTTTAATGAGGGAAATAAGTATTTGACCACTCTGCAAAACATGACTTAGTAATCACAGAGGTCAGACGTTTCTTGTAGTTGGCCACCAGGTTTGCACACATCTCAGGAGGGATTTTGTCCCACTCCTCTTTGCAGATCTTCTCCAAGTCATTAAGGTTTCGAGGCTGACGTTTGGCAACTCGAACCTTCAGCTCCCTCCACAGATTTTCTATGGGATTAAGGTCTGGAGACTGGCTAGGCCACTCCAGGACCTTAATGTGCTTCTTCTTGAGCCACTCCTTTGTTGCCTTGGCCGTGTGTTTTGGGTTATTGTCATGCTGGAATACCCATCCACGACCCATTTTCAATGCCCTGGCTGAGGAAAGGAGGTTCTCATCCAAGATTTGACGGTACATGGCCCCGTCCATCGTCCCTTTGATGCGGTGAAGTTGTCCTGTCCCCTTAGCAGAAAAACACCCCCAAAGCATAATGTTTCCACCTCCATGTTTGACGGTGGGGATGGTGTTCTTGGGGTCATAGGCAGCATTCCTCCTCCTCCAAACACGGCGAGTTGAGTTGATGCCAAAGAGCTCGATTTTGGTCTCATCTGACCACAGCACTTTCACCCAGTTCTCCTCTGAATCATTCAGATGTTCATTGGCAAACTTCAGACGGCCCTGTATATGTGCTTTCTTGAGCAGGGGGACCTTGCGGGCGCTGCAGGATTTCAGTCCTTCATGGCGTAGTGTGTTACCAATTGTTTTCTTGGTGACTATGGTCCCAGCTGCCTTGAGATCATTGACAAGATCCTCCCGTGTAGTTCTGGGCTGATTCCTCACAGTTCTCATGATCATTGCAACTCCACAAGGTGAGATCTTGCATGGAGCCCCAGGCCAAGGGAGATTGACAGTTATGTTGTGTTTCTTCCATTTGCGAATAATCGCACCAACTGTTGTCACCTTCTCACCAAGCTGCTTGGCGATGGTCTTGTAGCCCATTCCAGCCTTGTGTAGGTCTACAATCTTGTCCCTGACATCCTTGGAGAGCTCTTTGGTCTTGGCCATGGTGGAGAGTTTGGAATCTGATTGATTGATTGCTTCTGTGGACAGGTGTCTTTTATACAGGTAACAAACTGAGATTAGGAGCACTCCCTTTAAGAGTGTGCTCCTAATCTCAGCTCATTACCTGTATAAAAGACACCTGGGAATCATGAAATCTTTCTGATTGAGAGGGGGTCAAATACTTATTTCCCTCATGAAAATGCAAATCAATTTATAACATTTTTGACATGCGTTTTTCTGGATTTTTTAGTTGTTATTCTGTCTCTCACTGTTCAAATAAACCTACCATTAAAATTATAGACTGATCATTTCTTTGTCAGTGGGCAAACGTACAAAATCAGCATTTCTTTCATCACATTCCCAGTGGGTCAGAAGTTTACATACACTCAATTAGTATTTGGTAGCATTGCCTTTAAATTGTTTAACTTGGGTCAAACGTTTCAGGTAGCCTTCCACAAGCTTCCCACAATAACTTGGGTAAATTTTGGCCCATTCCTACTGACAGAGCTGGTGTAACTGAGTCAGGTTTGTAGGCCTCCTTGCTCGCACACACTTTTTCAGTTCTGCCCACAAATGTTCTATAGGATTAAGGTCAGTGCCTTGTGATGGCCACTCCAATACCTTGACTTTGTTGTCCTTAAGCCATTTTGCCACAACTTTGGAAGTATGCTTGGGGTCATTGTCCATTTGGAAGACCCATTTGCGACCAAGCTTTAACTTCCTGACTGATGTCTTGAGATGTTGCTTCAATATATCCACATCATTTTCCTTCCTCATGATGCCATCTATTTTGTGAAGTGCACCAGTCCCTCCTGCAGCAAAGCACCCCCACAGCATGATGCTGCCACCCCCGTGCTTCACGGTTGGGATGGTGTTCTTTGGCTTGCAAGCTGCCCCCTTTTTTCTACAAACATAATGACGGTCATTATGGCCAAACAGTTCTATTTTTGTTTCATCAGACCAGAGGACATTTCTCCAAAAACCCCAACAGCCATCGAAAAGGAATGTAAGGTCCATGAAGTACAGGTTCAATGTGGCAGCCATTTTGGCCAATGCGGTCCATTGTAGAGGACAAACTGAATTTGACAAGACTTTCAAATACTTGAGAAATGCGCTTAATTCTACAGCTGCACCATCGAGAGCATCCTGACTGGTTGCGTCACCGCCTGGTATGGCCTTCGATCGCAAGGCACTAGAGGGTAGTGCGTACGGCCCAATACATCACTGGGGCCAAGCTTCCTGCCATCCAGGACCTCTATACCAGGCGGTGTGCTCTCTGCTACTGCACGGCAAGCGGTACCGGAGCGCCAAGTCTAGGTCCAAAAGGCTTCTTAACAGCTTCTACCCCCAAGCCATAAGACTCCTGAACAGCTAATCATGGCTAGCCAGACTATTTGCATTGCCCCCCCACCCCAACCCCCTCTTTTACGCTGCTGCTACTCTGTTTATTATTTATGCATAGTCACTTTAACTCTACCCACATGTACATATTATCTCAATTACCTCAACTAATCGGTGCCCCCACACATTGACTCTGTACCGGTACCCCCTGTATATAGCCTCCCTACTGTTATTTTATTATACTGCCGCTCTTTAATTATTTGCTATTTTTTACTAGTTTTTTACTTAACACTTTTTCTTTCTTAAAAACGGCATTGTTGGTTAAGTAAGCATTTCACTTTAAGGTCTACACCAGTTGTATTCGGCGCATGTGGCAAATAAAATTTGATTTGATTTTAATTCAGGTCTGATAGACTTAAGCACTTATGAAGGCTCCAGCTATTTTACATACTGCTTACATCTACTCACATTGAAACACCACTGACTCAATCCGGAATTTTCATGCCCACCAGATGCGTTCCGGCGGAAGTCATTAATTGTCAATGGAGCAGTCCACAATGCTACGTTGGGGCAGTGTTGCCAACTTAACGACTTTGTCGCTATATTTAGCGAGTTTTCAGACCCCTCTAGAGACACATTTTCAAAAAAGCGACTTGTGACAAATCTAGCGACTTTTTCTAGTGTTATTGGAGACTTTTGGAGACTCTGACATGAAAGCACGTACCGTTCTTACTGTTCTCAACGAGCAGCGGGTGCTGCCGCGGTTGCTGACGTGGGCCCCACCCCCGTCCCAAAGCATTCACAAGCGGCCCAGTCCTCGCACAGCAGTCCCTCCCAGCTGCAGTCAGAGCAGGAGATGTTCACCCCTCCGTGTCCAGACTGCAAATGAATCACGCATGCGGGAAGCCGCCGCTGGCTGTTCCCGCCCTGGCTTACATTCAGGGCGGGATGTAAATTTAGGGTGTTTTTTACTCACTTTTTGTCTCTCCCACGACGTCATTCCTCTTTCCTACAGCGTCCATGACAATTACATGCACATGGCCAATTATGCAAAGTAGGTGATGATGTCATTTAGCGACATTTAGGACAGCCAATAGCTACTTTCCTTACAGAGGAGTTGGCAACACTGCGTTGGGGATGTCACACTAGGCTGCGGTGCGTTCTGTGTACCACATGCGTTCAATATTTTTAACTTGTGCGTTGCTTTACCGTGTGGTGGTACAAACGGATGTACACATACTCCAACTAGCTAGCTTTTAGCTAGTTGAAAAGCGAAGCACATGTGCGTCAAGTACGGAAAATGCAGCTAAGACATTCGGAAAAACAAAAAGCATATGCATCTGGTGGGCGTCGGAGGGCTCAGACACAACAATAGGTCGTTATTGATATTCGTTGGCAGAGTACTTAGCACCTCTGAACGTAATTTGCGAACCGAGAGTGCTCACCGATTTTACATGTAGAATCGAGTAGAAAATTGTCAGCCAGACGTCTACAGCGGGTTGTCCCTAAAAAAAAAACACGCTTTACGATCAGCAGACCAACATTAGATCCACATTCAGTGTGATGTGTGCGAGCCTTAAGAGTACCTGGATGGCTCTGCCACTGGCAGAGATGAAGGCCTCCACCGTGGTGGTGTAGTCACCTCCGGCAAACTTCTCCTTCTCAGTCTTCCTGCCCTTTACCACGGGGATGGCCATCAGCTCCTCGTATACACGCGCGTACAGGTCCAGGATCTGTAACACCTGGACACACGCACAGGGGGAGGGACAAGAGGAGTCAGTATTTATTACAGACTACCATGTACAGAAGGCATGTAACGGCAGAATAATTCCGAAACTGGGATGTACTAGCTACCCTAACATTACGTTTTCACTGAAATCATCCATCGACTAAATCAATCTCTGTGCAAATGGACAATAATTGTATCGTATTAGGCCTAATTAACCCTTCACTAAACTCCGCCTTCGAACAGCGATTGTCCAATCAGAGCTTAGCAACCATAACCAACCACTCGGACCACGGACACTTTTCGCAAAGAATCCTCACGGCTTCTATGGGCTCTAACGGAGAGAAGTGTAGGTTGTGGATAAAGCTTTGTGGACAACTTTATTCAGTAGAACACAAGCAAGATAACGAATGACGCATATGTTTGCTCCAAGGTAAGCAAGTAAGTTAACCTTTTGCATAATGTGTGATATCGCAATTTATTTCTAATTGAAAAAAGAAACTGGCTAGATAAAGTTAGCAACAACGTTAACATTACACAACTAAGATAAACATTGCTAACTTAGCTAGCTACCTCTTTAACAACGATAGCTAGCTAGCTTTGTTAGGCTACCTGTTTCACAAATCTTTAGCTGGCTAATTTCGTTCAGCACTTTGTTGACGGGAAGCCAAGTCTTCAGTACCAAAATTCCGCTCCTGTACTGTAATATGAGGTTTTACCAAACCTATCCTACACTACCAAATATCAACAGACACTAAGGGGCAAGTTGATCCTATATATGGAGGCTTTGTACATAAATTATACACAACTTACATAACTCATACATAACTTAGTGTAATCACAAGTACAATGTAGGCAACAGATGTCTGATTTACATATCATTTGATTCAGAAGACCTCTGAAACAATATAACCCTAACACTGAATGAATAACACTACATGTATCATCACATGCATCTACAGATTAAGATCTGATGTGCAACAGAGCTCTACAGTGCGACCATTTTACCCGCATATGCGCCTAAATATTTTGCTGTGCGCTTAGACAAATTAAGGATTCTAGCTTTAATATCTCACATTTTTCATTGTGCTCCTAAATGTTTGTGTGCACCTACATTTTTTTACTTAAGCGCACACATGCTCCTTGTAAATATAAGGTCAGCGTAGAGCCCTGCAAGATGCAGCTTCCACTAACATCACAGGAGAGACTGCAACCAAATCACCAGAGGATACCGGAGATGATAGCTCAACAGAGGACACCGGGGTACTATTTTAATTATCTGCACAGGGCCGGCAAGAAATGCTAAAAAAAATAAGCAGTCCAGCTGGCTTTTCATACTATCCCACGTTTCTGCATTAAAGTGGACACACTCTAGGTGAAAGTCATTTTTACACATGACAAATAAATCACACCACGGCATCCCTGTGATTACCATTTGTCCCATAATAAGGTAGTGGTACTAATGAATAGGTTTGTGAGCGTAGGTACCATCAGCTCTTTGACAGAAGTATTTACAACCCGTAAAGTTGTCTTAGTCTGGGCACTTTATTTCCAGAAGCCCGTGGCTTGGGTTCTCATTACTCTAGACTTTCCTGTCAGGAGATGTGCCTAAATGGGGGGGGGGGGGGGGGAGTGGGAGTTGACAACAAAGCCACATGGGAACACTTTGTGCCCAGTGACTTCGGTGTACAGTGCTGCTGCAACCGGCTCAAGCTCCAGGACTCTCTCGTCATCGCCTTGGTCTGCACTGTCTTCTTCCTCTGCATGCTGGTGGCAAGACTGTCAGTCTGCTACCCTGGAGCACAACCTCTTAAAAGAGGATGAAGTAAGTCGCTGGGAGCGGACGTGATGGCAGGTGTTGTTGCTCTGCCGTCTTGTCTCTTTTTCCAGTGCCTCTGCTTCAGACTGGGAGATCATCATATCACTGTTGTAATGTCTCATTTTCATTCAGAACTGTAGAGAAACAGCTTGGTTGTTGGCGGCAGAGGAAATGCTGGGAAATCATCGGTAGGGTTGGAGGAGGATGGTGGTGGCACTGTTCTCCAATAGTGGGAGCTGCAAAAGAACGGGAAAGAACAGCTTTTACAAAGCACCAACGTCTTGTTTAATTAATGTAAGGAAGGAATTTTAATTTTAATCATTTGGTGTATTTTGTGTTTCCAGAGTGCATAGCAGAGCATCCCCAGTTGGAAGAAGAACAGGAGGAAGAGATGAGCTTAAAGATTCAAGTCGCTCAAAAGGAAGAGGAAATGGACTTGTTAAAGAAAAAAATAACAGCAGTGTCCCCCCAACTACTTCCAATACTGCGCTGGGTTTACTTATGGTCAGTTTAATAACTTGTGCAATTGTTTTACATTACCAAATCATAAAAACAGCCCCACAGAGACAACTATCCCCTTGACATACAAGAGAGTAGATTGGGAGATTTAACAGATGCCCCTGCATCAGCAGTTTCTGCTTGTGCTGAGGAAACTCAATTTTGACCTGAAAGATCTGGCTTTCAGATTTCATATGGACTTACAAAGTGATAGCACTTTATTCAATGGACTTTATGTAGGACAGGCTAGGTCAGTTGTCTGTATTGCCTCACAGGGACAACATCACAGAAAACATGCCAGATAACTACAGGAGATATTTTCCAACGACCTTTGCAATACTAATTTAGATTGCACAGAGTTAAAGATGGAGAAACCAAGCTCACTGCTACTGCAAAGTAGGCTTGGGCGTAGGTATACCAGGGTATTTGGAAATAACCATGGGATGGTTTTTCAATACCGTCAATACTGTTGAAACTATTTAGTTGAAGTTTTTTTTATAGAATTGAATATTTGTAGATACTTAAGTAAATATCTGCAGTGAACAGTGCATACCCTACAGGTTATGCTGCTAACCATAGATTTGTGCCAATACAGTAAGTACCTGCCCATGTCTAAAACATGGGTTTCTTTGATATGTAGCTAACAATGAAAGATAATGGACTTGCAGTAACCTGTGGAGCTAGCATAGAACGGTATGTTTTTTGAGGCGAGGGCGTTGGTTGTTGACATTAGCATAACAGCTAGCTACAGCTGATTGTACACAATATAGTATGAGTTTGGTTTCAAATGATTGTGAGACCTACCCTGCAGTGCAGGAACAATGTTGCTCCTTTGTCATCCGTCTCTGCCTCGATGGTCAGCTAGTGGGGTTTCTCCCTCTTACACCGATAGACTTTGCCTCTATCCTAGTCCTCCTGCTTGTTGTGTTGAGCTCCTGCGTTATTCTTATTTTGTGAATATAGCCTTCAAAAGGCATATTGAAGACCCCTTTGTTTGCTCCCATCTGATATAAGTGATGGGTGTCTCCAAAAGTTACTTAGTACCTCATTTGGGAGTTCCCTTAGTGTTATTACGATGCGCTTCTCCATGTTCGCGGGAAGATAAAAGGTAAAGCTTGTCAGAATTAGCAACAGTAACCAAGGTGTAGTACTAATTTATCCCCAGAATCCATGGAAAAGAGATGCAGGGCCCATGGAATACAGGTTCACTATGGCAGCCATTTTGGCCAGTGCTGTCCATTGTTGAGGAAACACTGAATTTGACAAGACTGCAAACTTTCAAATACTTGAGCTGCGCCTAAATCCAACTTACACAAAAAACAAACATTAAGTATTGTTTGAATGCACTCCCCAAGACATGAGATGTCCTATTTTTTTTTTACTCAACATTCATGAGAGAAAAGTAAGAACTGGTCTCATGGACGGTTAATAATAAATTGGCCTTGTTACCTCTTCGGCGGCCTCCTCTTTGGTGGCGAAAGCCGTGTGTCCCTCCTGCCACAGGAACTCTCTGGTCCTCAGGAAGGGTTGGGGGTGCTTGAACTCCCACCTCTGGGGGTGAGAGGGAGAAAGCAAGCGAGATATTAGTGAAGGAGAAATAGTAAAAATCACGATACATTCTGAAAAGTTAGAAAAGGTTGGTGACCACTGCTTTAGGATGAGTCAAGATCACTTTCGCAGTCAAAAAGCAAGCAGAGGTCTACCGCTCATATTATTATATATTTTTAAAAACATGACTTTAAAAATGTAACATTAACCTAATACAAACAGTTCTGTAGGAAGGAGGTTTGGGCAGTAGGCCTAATACATTATCAAAGCATATTGGCTATATGCCTGGCCTGCTAATATAGTTATTCTCAGACCATATTATATTTCAAAACTCGAGCTTTGATAACAAAATCAGTTGGTGTAGCACTTGCGAGGCACTGCGGAGCATGAATTGAAATAATTTGCTTTTTTATTTTACTGGACTGATGGTACCTGTAACTGTGAACTCTGGGGGAAGAAAACAAGGTCAAATCATGACGTCAGTGATCTTCAGGTCGGAAAGTCGGAGCTCTAGAAAGATGCCCCAGTTTCCGACTTGGAATTCAAAACGATTTTTGTGGGCGTGCTCAGTCCTCTTTTTTTTTTCCAGTAGTCCACAATCATCTCCTTTGTCTTGGTCACGTTGAGGGAGAGGTTGTTATCCAGGCACCACACGGCCAGGTCTCTGACCTCCTCTCTATAGGCTGTCTCATCGTTGTCGGTGATCAGGCCTACCACTGTTGTGTCGTCGGCCAACTTAATGATGGTGTTGGAATCGTGCCTGGCCAGGCAGTCATGGGTGAACAGGGAGTACAGGAGGGGACTGAGCACGCACCCCTGAGGGGCTCCCGTGTTGAGGATCAGTGTGGCAGATGTGTTGTTACCTACCCTTACCACCTGGGGGTGGCCCGTCAGGAAGTCCAGGATCCAGTTGCAGAGGGAGGTGTTTAATCCCAGGATCCTTAGCTTAGTGATGAGCTTTGAGGGCACTATGGTGTTGAATGCTGAACTGTAGTCAATGAATAGCATTCTCACGTAGGTGTTCCTCTTGTCCAGGTGGGAAAGGGCAGTGTGGAGTGCAATAGAGATTGCATCATCTGTGGATCTGTTGGGGTTGTATGCAAATTGGAGTGGGTCTAGGGTTTCTGGGATAATGGTGTTGATGTGAGCCAAGACCAGCCTTTCAAAGCACTTCATGGCTACAGACGTCAGTGCTACGGGTCGGTAGTCATTTAGGCAGGTTATCTTAGTGTCCTTGGGCACGGGGACTATGGTGGTCTGCTTGAAACATGTTGGTATTACAGACTCAGTCAGGGACATGTTGAAAATGTCAGTGAAGACACTTGCCAGTTGGTCAGCACATGCTCGGAGTACACGTCCTGGTAATCCGTCTGGCCCTGCGGCCTTGTGAATGTTGACCTGCTTAAAAGTCTTACTCACATTGGCTACGGAGAGCGTGATCACATAGTCATCTGGAACAGCTGGTGTTCTCATGCATGCTTCAGTGTTGCTTGCCTCGAAGCGAGCATAGAAGTGGTTTAGCTTGTCTGGAAGTCTTGTGTCACTGGGCAGCTCACGGCTGTGCTTCCCTTTGTAGTCTGTAATAGTTTTCAAGCCCTGCCACATCCGACGAGCGTCAGAGCCAGTGTAGTATGATTCAATCTTAGTCCTGTACTGACTCTTTGCCTGTTTGATGGTTCGTCGGAGGGCATAGTGGGATTTCTTATAAGCGTCCGGGTTAGAGCGGCAGCTCTACCCTTTAGCTCAGTGTGGATGTTGCCTGTAATCACTGTGGGGACGACGTCATCGATGCACTTATTGATGAAGCCAGTGACTGATGTGATGTACTCCTCAATGCTATCTGAAGAATCCCGGAACATGTTCCAGTCTGTGCTAGCAAAACAGTCCTGTTTATAAGCAGGAATTAGGAGGATAGAGTTATGGTCAGATTTGCCAAATGGAGGGCAAGGGAGAGCTTTGTATGCGTCTCTGTGTGTGGAGTAAAGGTGGTCTAGAGTTTTTTTTCCTCTGGTTGCACATTTAACATGCTGGTAGAAATTAGGTAGAACTGATTTAAATTTCCCTGCATTAAAGTCCCCGGCCACTAGGAGCGCTGCCTCTGTATGAGCTTTTTCCTGTTCACTTATGGCCTTATAAAGCTCATTCAGTGCAATCTTAATGCCAGCATTGGTTTGTGGTGGTACATAGACAGCTATGAAAAATATAGATGAAAACTCTCTTGGTAAATAGTGTGGTCTACAGCTTATCATAAGATACTCTACCTCAGGCGAGCAAAACCTCGAGACTTCCTTAGTCCATGTCGTCGTTCAGCCACGACTCGGTGAAACATCATATATTACAGTTTTTAATGTCCCGTTGGTAGGATAACCGTAATCTTAGGTCATCTAATTTATTTTCAAATGATTGAACATTGGCTAATAGGATTGATGGAAGAGGCAGTTTACTCGCTCGCCGTCGGATCCTTACAAGGCACCCCGACCTACGTCCACGATATCTCCGTCTCTTTCTCATGCGAATGACAGGGATTTGGGCCTTGTCGGGTGTCTGTAGGATATCCTTCGCGTCCGACTTGTTGAAGAAACAATCTTCGTCCAAAAGCTCTTTTTGGTTATAAGAGACGATGGCAGAAACATTATGTACAGGATAAATTACAAATAACGCGGAAAAGGTTTGGGCTTTTCCATTTTGAAATTGTATTGACCCTAACAGTGATGGTGAATATGACAATTATCCTTAGTGGAGTGGACACTGACCACAACGTTGCACCACTGGTTGAGTTTGATGGGCAGGTCTCTGTGGGACTGGACCCATTTGGCGTAGGCAGGGTACATCACTGTAAAAATAAAAAAAGGAGGATGCATTGGTCAGTATGTGAATTAGTAAATTAATAAATGTCGGGCATAGAGAGGGTAGAAGTTGTAAGCGCCATGGATTAAAATATCCATAGACACGTTGTCTCGTGAGTTACACCTATATAATGTAGTTCTTTGAGACCTAGTGAAAAGCATCTGGAAATTCAATGTATCAAGTTTAACTTTAAAGTCTGACAGAAGTGGTCAGGTGTCTTTGTCTTACCAGTTTCACTATTGGGTCGGACAGCAATGGGCTCAGCAAGCTCAGTGTTCCCTGACCGCGTCACCCAGGCGACCTGAAGCCAGAACACACACAAACACAGTTCACTACTAATGTGTCAAATCACTTAAAGGGGATCTTCTTTAGTATGACACCAAAACAAATGGTGATCACACATCACTGGAGAAGCGAGGACCAGGATTTCCAATAGGGATAGATACACACCGATACCACATCTCACCACTAGATCGTGTCAGGAACACCCATCCCCCTATCCAACCCCACACACACTTCGCAACACCCACCTCGGGGGCAAAATCCGCAATATGGGACTTCTCCTTCTCCAGGGCAGCCTGTGAGACGAACATGGGGAAGTAGCAGTTCTCCACGCCCAGCTTCTTGATCTCGCGGTCAAAGAACTCCTTGATGGACTCCCAGATGGAGTAGGACCAGGGCCTCAGCACGTAGCAGCCGCTCACATCGTAGTACTCAATCATTTCCGCCTTAGTGATTACCTGGAGGGGCAGATGCAAAGGGAGACACTTGTCTTGAGCCCTATACCATGGCTGCATCCCGATTCTCAACCCTTTCCCCAATCCTCTAATGGATCTAAAACCACTGGATTGGTGTTATCATTGGCTGGATGGAGTTTCCACCATTGTTAAATCCATGACGGGAAGTATGCAACCCTAGCCCCAGGCCCTATTCCCAATTACTTTTCAAATCAAATCAAAATGTTATTTGCCACATGCGCCGAATCAACAGGTGTAGACCTTACAGTGAAACGCTTACTTACAAGCCCTTAACCAACAATGCAGTTTTAAGAAAAAAAGTGTTAAGTAAAAAATAAAAATAACAAATGATTAAAGAGCAGCAGTAAAATAAAATAACGGTAGGGAGGCTATATACAGGGGGTACCGGTTAGTCACACCCGGGGAAGTGTACAAGGAATAGGGCTCCCGAGTGGCGCAGCGGTCTAAGGCACTGCATCTCAGTGCTTGAGGCGTCACTACAGACTCCCTGGTTCGATTCCAGGCTGTATCACAACCGGCCGTGATTGGGAGTCCCATAGGGCGGCGCCCAGCGTCGTCCGGGTTTGGCCGGTGTAGGCCGTCATTGTTCTTAACTGACTTGCCTAGTTAAATAAAGGTAAAATAAAATTTAAAAAAATAAAAAAATAGAAATGGAATTGTGCTTCTGTCCAAGAGAGGTTTGTGACAATTCCAAAACTACTGTCTTTAGTGGAGATTAGACTGCTAGTCAAAAAACTGGGGCATTAATCACTTGCACAGGTGTACAGACTCACCTGAGAGTACCAATCAGCCAGGTTCTCCTCTTTCTTAGCCTCCAGTCCTAGTCTGAATGAGGAAAATATATAGCAATCAGGTGTGAATCCTAACTTCCACTTAGTCAATTTCCACTTAGTCATGCATGGATGTCAGTAGTGGACCGTTCCCATCCCTAGCTAGGCCTTCAGAGCCACGGCTCCCAAGAAAAATCATCACGTCAAATAGCTGATGTAAATCATGACAAAAAACACAGTACCACAGCATAGATACACAGCCAGTCTTCTCTGACACAGATCCATATCACCACAGCACACCAACTTCATCTGGCCACATCCAGCCTAACCAAATAATCCTGGTTAGTATGAGTTAGTATCAGTCTTTCACAATGCAATACACACCAAGCTAATTCGGATGCAGTCAAGCATGCAATTACAACAATTAATCAAGCTACTGCTCAAATGCAAAAACGCATAATTGGTACACTTACAAATATGTTTTCAACTTGCTCTGGCAAGTTTAAAAGCCTCAAATGTTAGTCTGCTAGACAGCTCTCAAACATTTTCAACGAGAACACAGCAAGCGAGCTGCAATAAAAACCACACAGCACACTTGGGATGAGTTCAACAACTTTGTTTTGAATCGATTAGTTGATGGTTGATAGGGCCAAAATGCTGACTTGTCTATTGCGGAGGGAAAGCCACGTTTTGTTTTGAATCTTGTTACCTCAAATCTATGCCCACTTTGCCCAGCAATGGAAAATATCACTTAAATTGGTTGTTTTCAATTCCCTATTTCAAATGGATACGGATGCCTTAGATCGACTAATCGATTAATCAAACTCATCCCTACAGAACAGTGAGAACACTCACCAGAAATCCATCTTCCGGTCCAGCTAAATGGTCAATCATAAGATGTTCGTCCTTTGCTTTTAAATCCAAGATACATTTTCTACAGTAGCGTGATTTTTATCAAAAGCCATTCATGAATAAGTTGAAGAGAGCAAGTCTATCATGTTGTAGATTCTACTGTAGCCCTGGGACTGGGAAAACTGCTAAAATTCAGCACCAACCCGTCTACTAGCTAGAAGGCTCTGAAGCCATGGGAATGTTGGGCATGCTCATTTTGCACCCCTGGGGGACGCCAACCTACGTAAATGAGATTGAGTAGAGGCGAGAAATGCAATGGCAAATGATAATGTTCGCAAAATATGCGTGCCCATTGAAAAAAATACATTTACATTCTTTCAATTTTAGTCGTCATTTAGCAGACGCTCTTATCCAGAGCGACTTACAGTAGTGATTGCATACAATTTCAGACTTTTTCGTACTGGTCCCCTGTGGAAACCGAACCCACAACCCTGGCGTTGCAAGCGCCATGCTCTACCAACTGAGCCACACAGCACTACAAATCAAAATCGGATTGGCTAATCATGCCGTCAATCCAAGACTAGTAGGATCAGGGGAAGATTTCTCCTCAGATACCAATACGGAAAATCCTGATTGGATAGCTATTCCTATTTTCATTTTTCCCTTCCCCACCACAGACAACAACCCTCTGAACACAAGAGATGAATCATGATCATGATTGACAAGACTCAAATATAATTTTCAATCACTGAAACATTTAATTTTCGGTTTAAATATTCTTAGGCTTCCTCTGAAGGCTTTGAAGGCCCTGACAGTACACCACTGTGTGAGATAAAACTTTAAAACATGTCTAGGAGCAATGTTTTGGGCCTATGGCACAACAGTTCAAACCACACATGAAAGAATATCATAATAATCATCATAATAATGCGTGCATACATTTTAGTATTGCTGACCCCAGAAGGAATTGAACCCACTACCCTGACATTGCAAGCACCAAGCTCAACCAACTGATTCACACAGGACCACATCCACATTCAGCCTATGTTCAACATCACCATCTCCCTTGATTTCTGGCATCTATCATTCCATCTTCAAATCTCCACTCCATTAAAGTACCAATGATTTCTATTCATCCATCTCTGCTTCCCACTCTCCCCTCCATCCACCCATCCCGCTCTCTCACCGTGTCTGTTTCTTGGGACCCCCCTCTCCTCCTCCCCCTGCGCCTCCCGACGAGGCCTCCTTGCCCTTGTCTCCCTTGGGCTGCTTCTTCCCTCCTCCTCCTCCACCACCTCCCTGTTTCTCAGACTTGTTCTCTCGGTCCTTACGGTTCTTGTCCTCTCCGCCCGAGGCTCCGGCGGCAGCTACAGGTTTGTACTCCTCTCCGGTGAGGGCCTTGAACTGGGTCTTCAGGGCCAGAAGCTGCTTCACAGCACCGTCCACCTGGTCCTGGTTACAGGGATGGCATTTTACATTGGTTGTGTTATGCGGTCTGTTGCATTTAATTACTCAACAAACAATTAGGACTATCCCTGAATAACAACATTAAGATTGAAATCTGATTATCATGTTCGGTGAATATTTGCCAAATTTAACATTGGTACAAATAGCTACAGTTGCTAACGTTAGCTAGCTATTCTAGGTTGTATCTGCGTCAAAATGCCAGTATTCCTCATCTGAATAGCTTGTTCTCGCCAACATGTTTTCAGCACTTTTGGTCATAGATTTACCAGGTGAAATAAAATCTCACTAACCTTAGGAGCTTTCTCCAATTTCAGCTTCCTCACCAACTCCCCCTGATGGGACACCTGGGAGAAGAGCACCTTAACGGAGGAGCTAGATTGGGCGTGGGGGGCAGGGCTAGCCTGGAAGGGGGCAGGGCTAGCCTGGACAGGGGCAGGGCTGGCGGCTGGGGCCATGCCTGGTTTGTAGTCCTGGCCAGTCACCTGCTTGTACTCGGCTTTGAGTGACAGCAGCTGCTTGACGGCGGCGTCCATCTGGTCCTGAGAGGGAGGAGACAAAAACAGAAGGGTTCATGTAACTTTCTTTAAAACTACCGTGAATTAATTAATAAAGCTGTTAATGCCATAAATATGGAGTTAAATACATGTAAAAAAATAAAAATAAAAAATGTTTCCTGATCTTGTTATATCTCTCAGATATAGGAGACACTTCAGAACAAACTTCCTTTTGATATGTTTTTGGGACTATCTGTTGTTCCATGTAGTGAATATGTTATTCAATGTGTTTGTATGGGCTAATAGCAGTAATACCAAAAATAATTTTATCGAATAATTTGTTTATATATTTTTTGGGATAAATCAAGGGGTCTTAAAATTCTAAATCAAGTAGATAAATGATCCTTGGTATGACCTTCTTAAAACAATTCCATATAGCTTAGTAGAACCCCCCCGGCTTAGACAGGGCTTACACTCTGATGGGTTAATATTGTAAAATAAAGAATGTTGTAATAGAGCAGGCCTCCTGTAGATCAGTTGGTAGAGCATGGCGCTTGCAACGCCATGGTTGTGGGTTCGATTCCCACGGGGGGCCAGCATGAAAAAAATGTATGCACTCTGGATAAGAGCGTCTGCTAAAATTACTAAAATGTCAAATGTAAAATGTCAATTCTCTCCCCAAACTAGTGTGTGTATGTAATGCAGAAGAGACATTTCCATCACATATGCAAAGCATATCTATCTTATCTATATTATTATATGAAGCATTTTATCCAACTCATGCCTAATGAATGCCAGCCTATCATCCCTTCCTGTTGGCCTCACCTTGGGGGCCTTCTCAGTTTTCAGCTTCCTCACCAAGTCACCCTGCTGAGTCACATGTTCATAGATGCCTGAGCCAGAAGTGGCTGTGGGGGCTTGGGTGCTCTGGACTGGGGCTGGGGCAGCAGCAGGGGCTGGGGTAATTCCTGGCTTGTAGTCCTGACCTGTCGCCTGTTTGTACTCTGCCTTCAAGTCCAAAAGCTGCTTCACCGCAGCATCAACCTGGTCCTTTGTGGAGAGATTGAGCAAATACAGAGGTCAGGGAAGAGAAATCAGGGATAGAATGTTCTATCAATGGGAAAAATGTATAGAACAGTTATGAACAGTTGGAGCAACTAGAGAGATGAGACAAGTCTTACAATGTATTTATAACCACAATAATACCTGCAGGCTAAAAGTAAAGCATTACTGAACTCGCCTTCCTTACCTTGGGTGCCTTCTCAGATTTAAGCTTCCTTACAGTGTCTCCCTGTTTGGTCACACGTTCGTATAGGCCTGAGGGAGAGGATGAGGGGGATGAGGCAGAGGGAGCAGTCTTGGCTGGGGCAGTGGAGGGAGGGGTCATCCCTGGCTTGTACTCCTGGTCTGTGATCTGTTTGAACTCAGCTTTAAAAGCCAGCAGCTGTTGGACTGCATCATCAACCTGGTCCGGGAGAGAAAATGAAAGAGAGCATTTAAAAAAAGTAATGTATCCTTTATTTATACAGGTAAAACCTCTTGAGATTAAAATATTTTGCGCTTGTGACCTGTTTTTAGGAGGCATCAAACAAACAAAAATGAAATGAATAATAATGTTTCACCTTCTACTTGTGGAAAAAAGTTGAACTACTTTTAATTGTGTAGCAGGCTATTTCAACTCAGGATTCAAAATCTAATCCATACAAAAATAGGAGCCAAATGATAAACAAGAGAAAAATGGACTCAAACCTTGGGAACTTTTTCAGACTTCAGCTTCCTCACTAGCTCCCCCTGCTGGGTGATGCAAGCAACGGCACAGGAGGCGGAGTCAGCAGAAGGGGCGGAGGTTGCCGCCTTCTGAGGGGCGGAGCTGGCGGGTGGGGCGATGCCTGGTTTGTAGTCCTGGCCAGTCAGCTGCTTGAACTGGGCCTTGAGTGACAGCAGCTCCTTTACCGCTTTGTCCACATTCTCCTTGGGGGCCTTGGCGGTTTTCAGATCGCGTACCTTCTCACCTTGAGCCACGATGCCGGAGAAAACGGCGCCGGCGTCGCTAGCAGGGGCTGGGGCAGAGACGGGGGCGTCTTTGCCCTTGGCTGGGAAGGCAGGCTAAGAGGAGACAAGGAGTTTATTCCTTATATTACAGAGATTTAACAAAATCTACAATAATCTAATTATCTTCATTAATCTATAAGAATACAGGGTGCATCGGAAAAATCTAAAATGATTCAAACTCGTCAAATAGTCCAACATTCTCCTTACGCCTCTCCTTTACCTGCACTAATCTGACAGCACAGACAGGTGGAAGCAAATCGTCAGGTGAGCCTCAGCCATATTGATTTGAATGATCCTATATTTTCAGATCAGTGCAGATAAATGAGGAGACAAGTAGAGGAAGCCACTTCAGACTATTGAGATGAGCCCGTAGTTATTTCCTCTCTCCTTTCCTGTCGCAGAAGAGGAGAACTCTAGAAGAGGCGAAATAGAGGAGTAGGTATTAAGACTCACTGTGGTCGTGGTGGTGGTGGTGGCCTTGCACTTCTCCTTGGAGCCGGCGGTGGGCATCTCCTTGGTGTGGCCGTCGGGGATGAACAGCAGCACACAGGGACTCTCCTTACAGCTGTGGGGACTAGGGGACAACACCAGGGACACGTTAGTAAAACAGACACTGGAACGGTGTGCTTCTGCATTTAGAAAATGTAGCACCCATCCAATCCTCTGGCAGTAGTATGCAGTAGGCATTGTCCTTGTTATTTAGAGAATATCCATCCATTTATTAATTAACTCATCCAACAATCAAACCATCAATCCATCCACCCACGCATCCCTCCCACTGGCCCAAGTGCAGTCATAGCCAAAACAACTAGTCAAAGATCTTGTAGAGAAGATAGAACCTGATTGGCTCGTAGGGCTGGTCACAGATGTAGAAGCCCCGCCTCTGCAGCTGGATGATGTCACCCTTCTTCAGGTCCTTCAGACAGGGGTCTCCCAGCATCTTTTCCTCCAGCTGAGAGAAACAAAGGATGTGAGACAGAGAAGGGAAGAAAGGATGTGAGACAGAGAAGGAAAGAAAGGATGTGAGACAGAGAAGGGAAGAAAGGATGTGAGACAGAGAAGGAAAGAAAGGATGTGAGGCAGAGAAGGAAAGAAAGGATGTGAGACAGAGAAGGAAAGAAAGGATGTGAGACAGAGAAGGAAAGAAAGGATGTGAGGCAGAGAAGGAAAGAAAGGATGTGAGACAGAGAAGGAAAGAAAGGATGTGAGGCAGAGATGTGAGGAAGAGAAAGAGAATGTGAGCGAGAGGCATGTGAGGAGAAATAGGAAACCCTGTTCAGTCTTCCGAAGGATTAGAAGAGTGTTCCTCTATACTGGTCAATGATATCTGCTCTATTCAGAATGATGTGCTTTAATAATAATTTACTACATTTGTAAAGCGCTTTTCATTATACAGAAAATCTTAAAGAGCATAAAATAAAAACCAAATACAAAATAAACACAACTAGACAGGGCAACTGACACAAAGAAGACAGCTGACACTACAAGGGACAAGAACACCAAGGAGCACAGCTATCAACAGAAAGCCTTCCTAAGAGAAAGGTCTTTAGGCCCGTTTTATAGGAGCCTGTGGTGCCTTCAGGTGGTCCGGGAGGGCGTTCCAGAGGCTAGGGCCGGTTGAGCTGAAAGCCCGATCCCCCAAGGAGGAATTTACTTAATTATTGTAACAGCTTTGCAAACAAAAACACACACACACCACACGAACACACTCCCTCACACCACACGCACACACTCCCTCACACATACCGCATAGACAACCAACCCCCCTCCCCACATACCCCCATGCTTGACCCGTCTACACACACCCTTGACTCGTCGCCACACACACACCTACCCTTGACCCATCCCCACCCTTGCTCACCCACCTTGCTCTGTTTGTTGATGTGCTCCTTGAAGTCGTCCTCCTTGCCTATGACGGGCTTGGTGATGAGGTGCTGGTAGTTGACGCAGACGGTGGGCAGCAGGGGTGCGCGGGGGGTCTCGGCCAGCCACGTGATCTTGGTGGTCTTCTTGTAGTCCTTGTTCTCCAGGTTCAGTTTGCCGTCCAGGGAGGTGACCTTACCGCTGGCATCTCTGGATCACAGAGACCAAGAGAGGGAGAGCGAAAGGCGGGGATAGGAGTTAGGGAGTTGACAGATTTTTTTTAACCATCATTGTACATTTGGTAACATTTTACTTAGAGCCGATAATGCATTTGAACGTGATACATCAGTTACATTGAGCGAGAGAGAGAGAGAAAGACAGAAAATGAAAAAATATATTAGTTACATGGTGTAGCTATAACATCTAGGCTAGTGATGATCCTTGCTGCAAGTGGAGAGCCTCTGTACAACTTATCAAGTGATCTTGATTAGTTGAATTTAGTGTTTCACTGGTGTGCTGGTACTGCAGTTTCTTGGGACTGGGTGAACACTTGATAAACACTTGCCTAGGCAAAGCCCTCCGGAACAGCTTTCTGTAAAAAGCTGCAGATCTAAAAAATATCACTTTAAATTAAGTAAAATTTATGAAGGCTTTATATAGCATACATAAAAGTTAATGAGCACAAAATAAATGCCTCACAAATCATCTATTGGATTAAGTCAAACTCTATAAATTGTTTATAAAGGGTGACATTACTCCCACTGTAGGGTGAATTGCCAAATGTGCCATAATGCAGTGGTTCTCAATCCTGGTCCTGGGGACCCAAAGAGGTGCACATTTGTGTTTTTGCCTCATCACTATACAGCTGATACAAATGATAAACTCATCATCAAGCTTTGATGATTTGAATCAGGTGTGTAGTGCCAAGGCAAAAACACAAATGTTCACCCCTTTGGGTCCCCAGGACCAGAATTGAGAACCACTGACATAACGCACAGTTTATTAGGAATGTAATGATTCACCAATACGCATCGGTCCCCGGTTCAAATGTTTAAGATGAGAGCGCATCGGTCCACGGGACCCCAAACTGATCCAAATGTAGCATGCATCGGTCATCAAATCTATTCAAACATGACAAATTAGCAGGTCAAATGTTTTTTGGGGGGCTCATATTACTTTCTTTCAACCTTCTGAAAATACGCCTAATCTTTTGTGACAACTGATGCGTCCTCTACTTCAGTGTCAACCTAAGCATGTAACTGTGTTGACAGTCATTGATCTACAAGTCATTTTGCATGCCGAACAACCCAGGCAATATCAGTAGCCTAGTCAAACTGTGCACTGTGTTGCGTGCTGTCCAATGAAGTTGGCCGCGAGTCACCTTCAGCATTAAAACGTTTGTAAAATGGCTTGCGCAATATTAGGCTGAGTGACAACCAATGTAATTTGTTAGGTTATTGTTATCAAATGTGCTGTTGAAAATTGTGTTTTACCGGGAATGAAGTAGGCTAAGCAAGCGCCTGAGACACGACTCATCTGGCTATATAGCCTACCTGCTGATCGAGGCTAAAAACAGATTTGATTTTGATTTTGCAGGTTCACTATCAGCAATAGTTTTGCTTTAAACAATCAGTGTATATGGTAATTGTTTTTATATACAGGGTAACGTTGATCATTTCATAATGAGGACAACGATCACTTTTTCTACCCGCACTGCACTTCGAAATGGGAGGAAAATAACTTCTAAACCATTCGATTTTGAGACGGGGGCTAAATCCAAAGTTGTGATATACACTACCAGTCAAAAGTTTGGACACACCTACTCATTCGAGGGTTTTTCTTTATTTTTACTATTTTTCACATTGTAGAATAATAGTGAAGACATCAAAACTATGAAAAAACACATAAGGAATCATGTAGTAAACAAAAAAGTGTTAAACAAATCTAAATATATTTTTTATTTGAGAATCTTCAAATAGCCACCCTTTGAATTGATGACAGCTTTGCACACTCTTGGCATTCTCTCAACCAGCTTCACCTGGAATGTTTTTCCAACAGTCTTGAAGTTCCCACATATGCTGAGCACTTGTTGGCTGTTTTTCCTTCACTTTGCAGTCCGACTCATCCCAAAACATCTCAATGGGGTTGAGGTCGGGGGATTGTGGAGGCCAGGTCATCTGATGCAGCACTCCATCACATCCTTCTTGGTAAAATAGCCCTTACACAGCTTGGAGGTGTGTTGGGTCATTGTCCTGTTGACAAACAAATGATAGTCCCACTAAGCCCAAACCAGATGGGATGGCATAAAATCTCCAATTTGGACTCCAGACCAAAGGACAAATGTCCACCAGTCTAATGTCCATTGCTCGTGTTTCTTGGCCCAAGCAGATCTCTTCTTCTTATTGGTGTCCTTTAGTAGTGGTTTCTTTGCAGCAATTCGACCATGAAGGCCTGATTCACACAGTCTCCTCTGAACAGTTGATGTTGAGATGTGTCTGTTACTTTAACTCTGTGAAGCATTTATTTGGGCTGCAATTTCTGAGGCTGGTAACTAATGAACTTATACTCTGCAGCAGAGTTAACTATGGGTCTTCCATTCCTGTCGCGGTCCTCATGAGAGCCAGTTTCATCATAGCGCTTGATGGTTTTTGCGACTGCACTTGAAGAAACGTTCAAAGTTCTTGAAAGTTTCCGTACTGACCTTCATGTCTTAAAGTAATGATGGACTGTCGTTTCTCTTTGCTTATTTGAGCTGTTCTTTTACCAAATAGGGCTATCTTCTGTATACCCCCCACCTTTTTTTTTTTTTTTTTTTGTCATTTAGCAGACGCTCTCTTATCCAGAGCGACTTACAGGAGCAATTAGGGTTAAGTGCCTTGCTCAAGGGCACATCGACAGATTTTTCACCTAGTCGGCTCGGGGATTAGAACCAGCAACCTTTCGGTTACTGGCACAACGCTCTTAACCACTAAGCTACCTGCCGCCCTGTAGTAACCCAAAAAAGTGTTAAACAAATCTAAATATATTTTCTATATGCGATTCTTCAAATAGACACCCTTTGCCTTGATGACAGCTTTGCACACTCTTGGCATTCTCTCAACCATCTTCATGAGGTAGTCACCTGGAATGCATTTCAATTAACAACTGATTGGCTCAAATGCATTAAGAAGAAAATAAATTCCACCAATTAACTTTTAAGAAGGCACACCTGTTAATTGAAATGCATTCCAGGTGACTACCTCATGAAGATGGTTGAGAGAATGCCAAGAGTGTGCAAAGCTGTCATCAAGGCAAAGGGTGTCTATTTGAAGAATCGCATATATAAAATATATTTAGATTTGTTTAACACTTTTTTGGGTTACTACATGATTCCATATGTATTATTTCATAGTTTTGATGTCTTCACTATTATTCTACAATGTAAAAAATAGTAAAAATAAAGAATAACCCTTGAATGAGTAGGTGTGTCCAAACTTTTGACTGGTAGTGTAGATGATTTGAGAAGCATTTGTATGGTGCTTATGAACCCTTTATGTATGCTTTATAAGTTGAACTTTGTTTAAAGTGGGAGCAATCTTACTTGTGGATCTTGGTGATGATGATGTTTCCCCAGTTGATGAAGGTGACTATCTCTCCCTCGGTGAAGGTCTCTGCGTCCGCCCCCTCCACCAACACCCTGGGTCCATACCACACCGCCTTCATCCCCACCTCTGTGTTCTGGGAGGGTAAAAAATACACATTTGCCAGGTTTAGTTGCTAATGGTATGATGGATTGACTATATTTGGTTGGTTTGGCGGTTTATTTGGCTATATTGGTTAGGCTATTCATTTGGGAAAAATTAAGTTGGCTGATTATTCACATCATATACTCAACTTGACTGAGGTATGACAAAAATACAAATTTTGATTGTGAGGGGAACTCTTAGCATTGTCAGAGTAATATACACGTCATACTTTGGCTGCTGAACACTAGATAAGAGTGCACTACTTCTACCTAGTCAGGGTGTGTCCAAAATGACACCCTAATCCCTATATAGTGCACTACTTTTGGCTTTGGTAGTGTACTCTGTAGGGAATAGTGTGCCACTTCAGTGCAAATAACTGGCATCAAGGTACCTTAGGGTGTTTGACGGCCTCCTTCATCTCCTCTGGTGCCTCAGGGATGATGACAGGGACTGAGTAGGATCCAGACAGGGCTGTGTATCTGGGGGCCACTGGGTCGATAACCTACAGACACACAGAAATGGGAGAGGTTAATTATTGCAATGGTGTCCTGTGTAGAGACAGAAAAACTCAATCAATATATTGACTGAAGACTTGTCCACAGAGGACAGTTCAATTGGACCGGAACATCTTCAACATATTTCACACTAACCAGCTGAGCCTACAGAGCAGAGGCGTACTGTGCTAGCCTGGTTATGCATCCACCATAGTTGTTGGAACCATTCTGGAAACGACAAAGTGAAAGGAAAATACCCAACCCAACACAGTACGGCTTGGCTCAAAAGAGTCAAAATAGTATTTTTCTGGACAAGTGAACAGAAATACTCTCACTCATACACACCGTTGAAGGAAGAAAAGAAGGGGGGATGGTGGTGGCAGAGTGCAGGGACGACATGAGAGAGAGAGAGAGAAGAGGGATAGAAAGTAGAGGGGGATCCAGTTTTGCAGGATGTATTGCCAACAACACAGACTAAAGGCAAAATGGGAGCATCTATAACCATGGGGAGCTGGGGACCTTAGAATTTTTCACATCCTGTAGCCTAGTAAAAACAGAGCCTAACAATGCACTGCTGTCATGTTATATACAGGTATGCCGGTGCCACCAAAGGTTTTGCTTATCAGAGATTATAGATACTAATAGTCTTCCAAAATATGTCCGCCAATATCAAGTGAATCGTCACTTTTCGAAGACTACTAGAATCCACTGTTTTCCTTGTGCTAGTCACCTCTACACCTCTAAGCTGCCAGTTGTGGAAATGGGAGGTGGCCGGAGAATCGGGGACACATAAGCAATCGGAGAGGAGTGTCTAGGAGAGCAGTATGGGGGTAGGGGAAGAAAGTTAACTTTTGTAGGGATGTTCTCCTCAGAAGTGACTATGAGTCCGAGTGAGATTTAAGCAAAATGATTGTTGTAGAATGAAGACAAAGATGCAGAATGGAGAAGACGGGGGAGGGAAAGGATGGAAAGCACATGGATGGAGGGAAGGAGTGGAGGAGAAGGAGAAGGAGGAGTACCTTGATACAGCTAATTGGCAGCTTGGAAACAGAAAGTGAGATGCAGTTCAATGTCAAACGAGAGAGAGAGAGAGAGAGAGAGAGAGAGAGAGAGAGAGAGAGAGGAGAGAGAGAGAGAGAGAGAGAGAGAGAGAGAGAGAGAGAGAGAGAGAGACTGGAGGTTCGGAGTGGGTAAGACATCTACTATATCCCTCCCTTCCTCATTGCCAATACCATGGGCTTCGAGGGGAAATAAACGTCTTCCCTAGATATAATACATGACATACATAGCAACCTTTAAATCATTTCTGGTTTAGAAGTATGCAGTGTTTGTACCATAGAGATTGACATATTTCTGTGGTTTGTATATTGGACACTAAAAATAGCACCTTGACAACACCTAGCCCCCCTGACCATGGCAGAGCGCTTTTTGATGACATCATCCAGCAAAGGTGCATAGGGGCGCAAATTTAAGAGGAGGCAGTTACTGCATGCGGACAGACAATGGAATGCCAAGATTTACATGAAATTGTGAGAGGTAGGGAGGGGTGTATAAATTAGAGGGACATGGTTGGAATGAATGTTAAAGTCTCAGATTGGGCTGAGTTTTATTATGAAGTATGTGTGGTATATAAATCGGGCAAATACTTCTGGTTCTGGAACTTAAATCAGTTTGTGACACCCACTATGTATAAAGTATGCTGGATGGTGACATTGCCGTTTATTTTGAGAGAAACGTGTTTCATGATCACATCAATCAAACGTAAAGGCTAATGAATTAGACAGGAACCTATAGCCTCCTCAAACCGTAGAGTCAGTTTCCTGGGCCTTAAGTCTATTCGTGGAATAAAAAGCATGTTTAGTGGAGATTCTCCATTGAGCATTCTTTTTAGTCCAGAACTACGCTTAATCTGGGTCTATGAAACCGACCCTTATTTTAAGGTAAGAAGACGATTGAAAAGTTATTATTTTTTCATTCAACTGACCCTTTAATTTTAAGCCACTGACAGAGCTATGTCATGAAGAGGAGGGAATGTGAAGGAACATTTTATGTTTGTGCTTTTCTAATAACCAATTTGACTGGGTTCATGCAAGTGACTGATTGATCGTGCCTGGAAGGAATCCTCACTATCAGTATCTGCAATTTGGCAGTACGCCCAGAACATTGTTTTGAGAACGGAAAGGGATATCTCAGTTTCAAGGTCTCAGCTTGGAGAGAGGAAGCCTCGTGAGGTATTAGTCGGTCACATACATGAACCAAACGTTCATTCTGAATTAATTATGAATAATGAATAAGCTAAATCATACAAATGTAGCTTGTCTGTGTAAGCAGTACATAAGAGAACTAACGGGACTGCCCCGGCGGAGCTCACTTCTGGCCGGTACTTTACGCATCTAAGTTTGACTGTGAACTCTCCAGCTTGCTGGATTTAAGATTGACTTTGAGTGTCCCTGTGTAGAATTTCCACGACAGAAGGCGGAGTGGAAAGTGGGGGATGAAGGGATGAAGGGAGTATAACAGAGGAGAAAAAGAGGAGCACAAGACACAAGGAAGGCAGCAATGCAAGCTGTTAGTAGGCACCCTATCAGAGGAATGAAGTGTGTGTGTGTGTGTGTGTGTGTGTGTGTGTGTGTGTGTGTGTGTGTGTGTGTGTGTGTGTGTGTGTGTGTGTGTGTGTGTGCGTGCATGCGTGAAACAAGCTTCCTTAGGGATTCAGTGCATTTCTTTTTGCTCCAACCGATCTGGGCAACCAAAACCTCTAATAATTGAACATTTCTAAAACCTACAATACAGTCTTGTCCAATCTACCAACAATGTCTTTTCTCATGCCACCGATTTTCATATGCAGATTCTTGGATGGGATGTGACCAGCTTCAACCCTACAGTGGGTTTCAAAGGGGCAGGCTTTAATCAGGATCAAGGGGTAGGATTCAATCAGGATCAGACCAAATGGGTATGTAGGGAGTGTGTGGAGGGGAAGGGGACTATCGGTGTCCATGCATGCATACCTTCTTGTTGAAGGCCCAGATCTTGTCCCATTCCATGTTGACCACGGACCTGGATCCACCCTGGGTGAGTAGGAAAAAAACAAAAGAATGTTTCAAAGAAGGAATCAACAAAAGGAATAGAAACAGGCAAAAAACCTGAAAATAGGATAGGATGGGATGAACTTTAACGTCCCCAAGGGTCTTAGACACACACATAGTTCATTCAGATCTGAGGAACCACTGAGTGCTAGAAAGCAGTTTAGACAGTAATTTCTCAAACTGGGTTGTAGATAGCAACACACACACACACACACACCTGGGCAGCGATGAACTGCTTGAGGCCCTCGACAGTCATTCCTCTGCGCAGGACACCTCTGACAGTGGGGAAGCGAGGGTCGTCCCTGAGGGAGAGGAAACATCAGATTTAGATCTGGGCCTTCAATAAAGAATTACGATTATTTTCTTATACTAACGGATCTCAAAGATCCACTCCATCAGCGCAATGCGAAGTGACGATTTATTCCAGGGAGATTTTTTTAAACAGAGTGGTACTTCCTGTATTTATAAGAACACAGGTCTTCATTTACAGTTGCAGAAAATGTTGCTATGGTGTGCCCTAGTGAACAACACCCTGTCGTGTGGAAAAGGTATTAGTTGACTCACCAGCCGTCGACGTAGCCCTGATCCACGAACCAGGTGAGCTTGCGCTTGGAGAGCACAGTGTTGTTGAGGTTGAGCCGGGCGTACTCCCAGACGCAGGGCTTGCGCAGACGCAGCGCCTCGATCACCCAGTAGAACTGGGCGTCGCGGTCGTGGTACTCTGTTGTACGCAGCGCGTGCGTCACGCCCTCCACACTGTCCACGATGGGGCAGGCGAAGTCGTACGTGGGGTACACCCTGGGGGAGGGGGTAGTGAGAGAGTAGTGTCACTCTTTTGGAAACGAGGATGCTTCTATACACTGTCCCTGTATGTCTTTATGAAATGTGTGAAGCCTGTTATGCACCTTTGTGAGCTGCTACACAGGACATGCAATATTTGCCAGGCGTGAGTCGAGAGTGATACCAGTGTTTCCCCTATATTCATTTAGCAGCGGCGCACTTAATGACTAAAACCATACATAAAGTATGTAGAAAAAATAATGGCGCTATATATTTTTTTATAAGATCATCTTTGCGAAATAACTACCACCAAAATAAAAACTGGACAGTCAGGGAGAATCAACAATTAGAAAAATGTAATTGCATGGGGGTCCCCCATTGATTTTGTTATGTTTGAGTCACTCCAATAGCATAAGAACACAGCAAAATGGCAAAATGTATAGATTTGCAGGAAATTAGCTTTCAAACAGCTAGATTTAGGCCACGCCCTCTGTTTTTTTGGTATCGCAAAACCTGTCCTTCAGACTTTTGAAAAAATGTATCAACAGAAATCCTTTATTTGCTAGTGCAGGAGGTTTTTTCAAATGTTTTCTGTCACCTGACGAATATCTCAAAAAAAGAACAAATGTGTATTCATTCAATGAAAACATTTTTTGGTAGCATGCCGTGTCTCCCTACCTGTAGGTGCTGCCAGTGCGGGGGTGGGGGGCATTCTTGCAGCGGTAGAGGGTGGGGTCGCGCATGCAGCCGTTGTTGGATGCCATGTCAATCTTGGCCCGCATGCAGCACGTCTGGCCGTACTCCGTGCCAGCCTTCATCTCTTCCCACATCTTCAGGTTCTGCTCCACCGCTGGGGGGGGGGGGGGAGAAGGAGAGGGGTGGGAGACAGAGAGAGGAGGGCAGGGGAGAACGAGAGAGGGGTGAAGATGCAATGAGTGAAGATGGCGAGTGTTGCGCTTTTGAATATCACACAGTCATTATTTATCGTAATTACTTCCACATGCCCTGTGAAATTTCGCCATGTGGCTACAACTATCAAATCGTTTCAGATCTAAAACAGTGCCTACGGACTAAGGGTGATGTTGGAATTCAGCCACTGCTCCACTCCTATTCCCCTTACAGTTGCTGCGGTGGCGGGACTCGGTGCGCTCCTCCCTCGCCGTCTTCATCTGCTCTGGGGGTGTGTCGTCGATGTAAGCCTTGCCCTCCTTCAGTAGATTCTCCGCCATGCCCTGGATGCGAGGGAAGTGGTCGCTGGTGTAGGTGAACTGGTCCGGCTTGATCTGCAGCATGGCCAAATCCTCCAGGATCACCTATGAGAAAACAGAGGGAACAGGTTGGATAGTGTTTTGCAGGGGTTTCATTACGACCACTTGCATTGCATCACTTCAAAGTAGCCCCGAAAAGTCCTCAAGGCACGGTAAGTCTTTTTTCAGGCCAGTTATACTCAGAGATGGAAACACAAAAGTATGTCTCTTTAGGCCAAGCAATTCTTACAGTGGAAACGAGCCATTAGGGCCCAATTCCGAGTTGAAATAAACATGTGCAACTCACACTTTCGGACATTCCTCCAATGATGTCGATGAGAGACTTGTACGAACATTTGAGTAAGACACAAGGATCTCAGGTCAGAACACCACTAGGATTGGGCGATGTCAACCTTTGTCCTATCGTGATTATGTACCCAGAAAACATTGATATATGATGGTATCGCCCTTATTGGCCAACCCCTCCCCCAAAACACCTAAAACGCCAGTTAGGCTATTAGCGCAAAAACGAATTAACTGGACGAATCATGACGAAGGATAATGTTATGGAAAGCCTGGGCAGAGGCTAAGTGCAGGCACATCTTTTTTAATATTCCTTTCTGGTGGAGGAGCTTCTGTGTGGGGCGCACATGATGGAGCAGTGACAGTCTGATGAGTAACGGGACTGTCTTACCGTAGCCTTAGGTTATACATCATGGGCTGGATAGAAGCAGTCTACCGTATTCAGAAGTCGATAATAATTGCTTTATTTGCCTCATAAAATAACAGTAAATAAATAATTGTTAGTTCCATCTCTCTTAAAGCCGTGATTGAAAATAGCCTATAGGCTATAAACTTTCATTCTTGATATTTTTGAAAGCCGCACCTTTAGGACAAAACCTTCTTAGGCTAGAATATTTGGGAATGAGCTACTGTTCATAACTTCAACTTAGCTTTTATGATGGGCCTAATAGGAGGATAGGTTATTGGCCATTTAGTTTTCAACCTCGCATGGAGGGATTTTATAGGCCGCATGGATAATGTATTTCTTAATAAGCTTAAACTTGAATAAACGTGTAATTCCATTTTTCTATAGGCTATTGATATTGTTTGTTCTCCCTTATTATTAGTCCCATGTCTACTTTACGTTTTTAGGCTAGTCCAACAACTGAGATGGAACTCCGTTACATTCATTGTTTGATCGGGAGAAATCTATGCATAAAAACGATAAAAGCGTAGCCTATAGCCCAAAGTCATATAGCCTATCGAATAAAGAGAATAAAGGCTACGTTTTTTTTAAACACAAGATAGTTAAGGAGTGTCCGTTATAATAAATAAAATATAAATAGGTTAGGTTTAGGCTATAGCCTAAGACCCATAATGCATCCGACAGAGAGGGAGAAACAAAAAATGTTTGACTGGAGATTTTGTGCTGCCTTGGTGGAATTCTCCGATCCGTCTGGCCTACATTTCTCTCTTGCGTTCTGTAGCCTATAACATACTTATTGAAATAGGCTATAGCAAATAGAAATAGGCTAATTACTATGTGTGCTGCCCTGCTGTGCGCTACGAGACTCCAGTTCTTTACTGCGCAGAGCAATTCAAATTCCTAATAGGCTAAACGCTAAACCATCGTCTGTCACATCCCGACGTCGTCACCATCAATGATGGCTGTCAGTCATCGTCGATAGACGATGCTATCGTAATATCGCCCAACCCTAAATACCATCCTGTATCAGCATGGAGGAGTTTCCCAAATGCCTTGTAGCTAACGCGGTACTTTATTTATCTCGTTATATTGCCTCAATTCTTCAACGTGCATGTAGACGGTGTTTTCACACATGATGGTTTATAAATCAAGAGAAAATAATTGATATGAAACAATTTAGCTAACCAAAAGAAAAAAAGGGACATTTGGGGGATACCTTCTCGAAGTCCTCCTTCTCTTTCTCGGGGTTGGTGTCGTCGAAGCGCATGATGAGCTTGCCCTTGAATGTCACCTGGTAGTGCTGGTTGAGCAGGGCAGCCTTAGCGTGGCCAATGTGCAGGTACCTGAGAGAGAGAGAAATAGAGAGAGAAAGTGAGCAAGCGAGAGCAAGAAGGGAAGAGGAATAGAGATATTAATAGAAGGCATTGCAACTAATAGCTATACATTTCCATTTTTAAATGTTTAAAAAAAACACTATCCTGTTTGTTCCTACTGAAAACAACACTGTTGTTTTTGTGCCAAGTGGTGATACTCACCCGCTGGCCTCAGGGGGGAAGCGAACCACCACTTTGCCCATCTCGGCTCCTGGCAGCTCCACAAACTTGCCCAAGTCCTGCTTCTTCTCCTGTTCCTCAGACAGAGTAGGGACACAGAGAGGAGGATACAGTCAGCGGGATTTGGGAATGCATGAATGCTTGATTGAAGTGAAAGTTTGTGTTAAGTGTGCAGATCTCAAGCTAGGACTCTGCTCTTAACAGTGGATTTACAGACAGAAATCCGTAATTTTCAATGCAAAGAGGAGACATACATCGAGTTTACCATTGGCAGTTGTGTTACTTACATCGGACTTGCGAGGAGGGGCCTTGCTGTTGGCATACTTGTTGCCCACTGCGATAAAGGGCACCTGGGAGCCCAGGAAGGAAAACCAGCGTGCCACGTGAGAGAACGCCCCCGCCTGCTGCTGGATTGACTGCCACTCACTGCTGCCTGTACGCACGCACGTGAGAGTGTGTAAGAGAGCGAGAGAACACATACGACTCTGTCAAGTCCAAAATCAATGCCTAGCCTCTACCCTGACATCAGATAGATGTTAACAATATAGCTCTGTGCAAGTACCGGGTGCGTCTAAATAGTTTAGTTTTTAGATGCACATTATGTATATTTGCCTGCGCTATTATGTATGACTGTCTACACCCCATCCATCTTCGGTTATCATGTTAGACGCCCATTAGTGTCAGCTGGGTCACTGGGACTGGCTGACCTTTGAGCGCGGCCCACACACAGAGGTCGGCCAGGGTCAGGCTGTGGCCCACCAGGAATGTGCGTAGGGCCAAGGCCTTGTCCAGCTCCCCCAGGGCCGCAGCCAGGCCCGACTGGCCACACACGTGCCGCGCACTGAACTCCAGCCAGTGGTCCACCTGGAGAGAGACAGAGGAGGGGATGAAGGGGATGGTATTGAAAAGGAGAGACAGACTGAGGAATAGTAAGGACGGGAGGGGACCGAATGGCTCACAATCTGAAATGCCTTGGATATAGTTGCATTGCGACTGATAACAAGGCTCAAGTAATGATCAATAAGTTGATCCATTAAATAGCAGTGAATGGCTGAATTAATTAATTTAGTGAGGCCTCCAAGCTCTGAGTTGAGTAGCCATAACACAGCGAGAGCTAAAGCTAATAATGCTGGGTAAATCTTAGGTAAGCCCAAGCGTTGGGGAATCAGTGTGGCAGTGCTAGTCTCTCACCTCAGTTTGTTCCAGCATGTTGGAGCCGTACAGGCCCAGACTGGGAGTCACGCGGGCAAGGTAGCGAGTGATGGAGTTCACATCGCTGAACTGCACTGACCTAAGGGAGAGAGGGGGAGAATAACCACTGTCAGCCAGACAATAACCTTGATTATTGCACAGTCAGTGCCCTTATAAAACGTCCTTATATAGGCCTAGTCACTATTGGTACTTTTGCAAAACACTAAACAGTATCAAGTAGCTGAACCTAAAATGTAACAAATCCAGTTCCTTGACCATCTCTTCACACATCAATGACACATTGTCATGAGAACATTTGTGAAGACAAAGCCATTGCTAGGTGTTGTGGTTGTTGTGTACTCACTCTGAGACACGGAGCTTGTTGTCTTTGCCCTCCTCCACAGACACGTTCACTCTGCCCTTCACATGCTCTGCTGCCAACAGCGCCCCTGCAGGCGAAGAAAGGAATCACAATGTAATTGGAAACGAAAGACCCCACCCGTCCCATCATGCATCCATTACTTGACAAAGTGCCCTAAATATAAAGTGGCAAGTGTGTGTGTGTGTGTGTGTGTGTTGATTTCATAAAACGTATTTACCAACTAGCCAGGGGGCACCCCAGAGACTAAACAAGTTCCAAAACACACAAAAAGTTATGTTCTCACATTGTTGTGCACCAGACAATAATGACACCCAAAGCCAATATGTGACCCGTTTGTTTTTTTGTTTTTTAATCAAAATATGTTTTTAGGCAGAAATGCCTTCTGGAACATGTGAACTTAATGTGCCTTAATAACAAACTTGCATGGCATCTGTAAATAAGAATAACATTATTAAATTACGAGCCTAGTTGGTTTAGCCACGGAAAAAGAGAGGAACCTTCCCACTAGCCATGATTGGCTGAGATAATGGATAGGCTGTACATGTCTAGAGATGAGTTCGGATTGGTCTGCCATGTAGCACGCTTCTGTCTATAACATGAGCTGCTCAGTATGTGTAGATAATCCTTGCTACCGTGGCTTTTTTGAAAAATATAACATAAGCCATGGAAAACTGCAAAAGTGTTGCTACTGCTCTCAACAACATTGCTGCCCGGAAAAGACATGCTGCCGTGAAGCATTCATCCATGTATAAGGTGTTAGAGTCTAGCTACATTTTCAGATATTATACGTTTCTAATTTGGTCAGAAAGTTGTTTTCATTGCAAGTTAAAGTGTACTGTTAGCTAGCTAGCGAACGTTAGCTTGTTAGATTGTGTATGACCTAGTACTAATATTATTTGTATCTCAGAAAGCCATTTGCATTGCTAGTTATAGCCTAATGTTAGCTAGCTAGCTAATATTGAACCTAGTTGGTTAGCTTTAGCTACCTGCAGATTCATACTCCAGCATTACATGCACGGTGGCTAGCTACGACAATCTGTTCGAACTGTAGCTATGGGTTGGGATTATGGTTTACTGTTTAGCTAGCTAGCTAGCTAGCTACCTACCTGTCTAAATAAAATACTCCACATTGCAAGAGAACGATTACATGACCCATCAAGTTAGCCAGGTGTCTGGGGGTGATTACGGCCATCTATTTTATTTCATGAACATGTGTAGATGTTTAGACAATAGTGACCCATCTACTTAAGCGAGATGTGGCTGGGGGTGGTTATAGCATTACTTTCACATGACCCATCAATTTAGACAAGTGTCTGGGTAAGCATCATCTAATAATTATAAAATATTTTTATCTGGACACTTTCAAAGTCAGATTAGGATATAGGCCAAAGACTAGATAAAGTGTATTTTTACCTGGAGTTTTTCCTTATTGTAGGCTACTACTTAAATCACTTTTAGTCTTGAAATAAGTGGCGCAGTGGTCTAAGGCACTGCATCGCAGTGCTAGCTGTGCCACTAGAGATCCTGGTTCGAATCCAGGCTCTGTCGTAGCCGGCTGTGACCGGGAGACCCATGGGGCGGCGCGCAATTCGTCCAGGGAGGGGAGGGAATGGCCGGCAGGGATGTAGCTCAGTTGATAGAGCATGGCGTTTGCAACGCCAGGGTTGTGGGTTCGATTCCCACAGGGGGTATGAAAAAAAAAAAAAGTAAGTTGCTCTGGATAAGAGCATCTGCTAAATGACGTAAATGAAATCTTTGGTTGTTTACTACACTACTTACTCTGTTTAGCACATGGCCTCACATGTGAATCCTTAAAGAGAAGGGTGGGGGCTAAGGCTTAAAAGGGTGTGAACGATGCTGAATAGGTGTAGACAAAGAAGAGCTCTCCAGTAGGCAAACCAAAACATTCAAGGGCCATTTTCTCAAAAGTGGGGTTACAAGTTTGTCAACTTTCAAAGCAGAATTACTTTACCATTGTTCCTCAACTACAGTGTATGATATACCATTTTGTAGCTCTGAATCTCTACTTTTATCCAATGTAAAAAACACAATTTCAAATGTTGCTACATAAAACCGAATTGAGGCGGTCGGTCACATATTGACAAATGTCTGTCAACTGTCAACTAGGGCCGGGACGATACCAGTATCACGATCCTCGTTAGTATCATGGCAAGGAAACAAAACACGAAGCGGATTTGACTTCTTTATGAAAAACAAACCTAATGTTGTAAACCAACATGATTATGATGTCATCCAGAATGCTTGTGTTTTGCATTTTAGACATCCTAGCTACTATGCATAATGCATAATTAAGAAGAAACTTGCCAAACTTTTTCTGTGACAAAAGTCTCAAGAGTGGCTTTCGTAGTTGTTTTTGTGTACTCAACAGCTTTGAGCTGTGAATAATTTCCCATCAACAGGCCAACGATAAATGATGCATGCAAAAATAATCTGATTAGAATGCATGAAACAGTGACAGTATTTCTAGCTAGTCTCTCATGTCGCTTGCATCAGTAAGTTACACCAGGTTGACACACAGGAAGGCTGTTAGCTCAAGGTCAGGGGTAGCTATGCATTATTGCAAACGCCATGACAGCAACTCTCCAAATAAAAAAAATAGACTAAAATCAAATTAAATTTTATTTGTTACATGCGCCGAATACAACACCGTGAAATGCTTATTTACAAGCTCTTAACCAACAATGCATTTTTAATAAAATAGAGTTAAGAAAATATTTACTAAATAAACTAAAGTAAAAAAAGAAAAAAGTAACAAAATAACAATAACGAGGCTATATACAGGGGGTAACGGTACCGAGTCAATGTGCAGGGGCATAGGTTAGTCAAGGTAATTGAGGTAATATGTACATGTAGATAGGGGTAAAGTGACTACGCATAGATAATAAAGAGCGAGTAGCAGCAGCGTAAAAAAAAGGGGGGGGGGTTCAATGCAAATAGTCCGGGTAGCCATTTGATTAGCTGTTTAGCAGTCTTATGGCTTGGGGGTAGAAGCAGTTAAGAAGCCTTTGGACCTAGACTTGGCGCTCCGGTACCGCTTGCCATGCGGTTGCAGAGAGAACAGTCTATGACTTGGGTGGCTGGATCATCTTGAACCATGTGTGAAAATGACTGAAGATGCAGCCAGCTATGTGACCTTGCAAGATACATTTAGCAAATGTTTTAATTAGCCAGATAGCTCGTTACTCACCAAATATGCACCTGAGGCACCTTTTCCGGTCAACAAACAATACATTAACATTTATTCTGTTGCTTGTACATTTTTATTTTTTGCAGTATTACTTTAGTGCCTTATTGCAAACACGATGCATGTTTTGGAATATTTTTATTCTGTACAGGCTTCCTTCTTTTCACTCTGTCAATTAGGTTAGTATTGTGGAGTAACTACAATGTTGTTGATCCATCCTCAGTTTCTCCTATCACAGCCATTAAACTCTGTAACTGTTTTAAAGTCACCATTGACCTTATGCTGAAAACCCTTTGTGGTTTCCTTCCTCTCCGGCAACTGAGTTTGGAAGGACGCCTGTGTCTTTGTAGTGACTGGGTGTATTGAGACACCATCCAAAGTGTCATTAATAAGTTCACCATGCTCAAAAGGGATATTCAATGTCTGCTTTAAATAAATAAAATTGATCTACCAATAGGTGCCCTTCTTTGCCAGGCATTGAAAACCTCCCTGGTGTTTGTGGTTGAATCTGTGCTTGATATTCACTGCTAGACTTTGAAGGGCCTTACAGATAATTGTGTGTGGGGTACAGAGATGGGGTAGTCATAAAAACAAAAATCATGTTAAACACCATTATTGCACACAGTTAGTACATGCAATTTATCATCTGACATGTTAAGCGAATTTTTACTCCTGAAGATATTTAGGCTTGACATAACAAAGGGGTTGAATACTTAATGACTCAAGATATTTCAGCTTTTCATGTTTTATTTATTTGTAAACATTTCTAAAACATAATTCCACGATGACATTATGGGGTATTGTGTGTAGATCAGTGACAAAATATCAATTTAATCCATTTAAAATTCAGGTTGTAACAACAAAATGTGGAAAAGTCAGGGGTGTGAATACTTTCTGAAGGTACTGTACCAGGCGTAACAGAAGTAAATTACGATAGTTGCAGGCAGGGCAGGTATTTTGTGAGTAACGAACGCATTTTCACATACAATAAGATAACGCTTGCAGAGCTGTCTAATGGGAAGATGACCGGAAGCGTTCTGGACAGAAAGGCTATCATGTCATATTCATCGTCTGCCCAGATACTGGTTCACTTCCCATCTCTACCTTCATTATTAAGCTATCTAGTTACGTTAGTTGTATTGTTGTGGCTTATTCAGCTGACATTTCCAACGACTATTGTTACATCATGCAATGAGAACTTAAAATAAATAGCTATCTAGCTAGGCTCTATTTCCTACATGAAATACCAACATCACATTTTTTGTTTCCTATTTCTTGCGATAGCTTCGACATTGTGTCACGACAACAGAAGCCTAGCTAGCTAGCTCTATGTAGCTAATGAACTGTCATCACGGACCCTGCTCAGAGTCAGACAGCACAAGCTAGCTACCTTTTACTAGCCAACGATTCTTATCCATCTTTTAGCTTTATCTAGCAAACAATACTATCACGTTTACCTAAAGGAGGGTTGCTACTGTTGATGGTAAGGTTTAAAGCCATGCTTTCTCCTCCCTTTCTGTTCGTGAAGGCTCTCGCGCTGTCCCGAAACCTTTCGAAAGTCGCCGACAGCACTCTCTTCAAGCAAAGATTATGGATATACTGACAAGATACTTGTCTTTCCGCCCTAACAATGGCAATCGTTGTCCACAAAGCGGCACGGCGCGCTGTCTAGCTCCCGCCTATCCTTGATTTGGATTTGGATCATCTTCTTCTTTCTTCCTCTTCTTCTTCAGTGGGGTTTATCGGCGGTTGGCATCCAACGTTATGGCGCATTACCGCCACCTACTGTACTGGAGTGTGGGCCAGCGACAGGGAGAAACTAAATCCTTCCTGCCTGCCCCGTTGCTCTTAAAAAAGATAACAAAATATTTGAGACTATATCTAATGATGTTCTACCCAATATAATATTTTAACTAATGTCCTGTATACCCTTCTCCCTCATACTAGATCTCATCCTCTCTCTTTCCCTCTGATACTGTCCACACTGTAGCAATACATGCTCCACGGTCTCTGTTCCCTGACAATAATCACACTTTCCTGTTGGATGCTTTCCTATCACATTTAATGTCTTATTCAACTGGCTGTGTCCCACCCTTAATCTTATAAAAATAGCCACCTCTCTTCTGTCCCTTCCTGCCGTCCTCCCCTCCCTTCTTTGGATCGGTGGATACATCTAATGTTGTAATCTTTTTTTAAATATTCGATGAGGGTTGTTGACGTCAACCGCCTGTATACAATGGAGAGAGATGCTATGCTACTAGCCTCAATCATGGATATGCATTCTCGAGACAACACCGATATAATGTGTTTTTTCTCAAAGTTGCCAGGATGTCACGTGTCCTACTTATATCAGTACACTCGTACAAAATAAGCATTACGAAACTTTTATTCGATCAAATACACCTCACGTAGCAAATAAGCCATACATTATTTTGACCAAATTCGACACTCTCTCATCGACCTCCATACAAAAACTCCTTCCTTGGTGGGAGAAAAACGCCACCTGCTGGAGGGTGACAGATTTTCAGCCGAGTTGGGGCTCTCTCTTCCTCTTCCTCTCTGCTTCAAACATAAACCACGCCGGCTCCACGCAGCAGCTAGTCCTAGCTTCTTTGAGTATGTGCAACAGTTTTAGTAACCCTCTTGGAATTGGTCTAGAGAAGAACCGTTCCAGTACTTTAAATCATGGCCAAAGAGTTTGGTCTCTTCCTCGGGCATGTTATTTGTGACTGATAGCTAACTATCCATGCCAAGAGGTCGTCACTAGTTACCACAGTCACAGAGTCATAAACCCCACCTATTTCTACCATGTCTCTTCTTAAAATCTGATGTTAAACCTAACCCTAACCTCAACCACACTGCTAATCTTAAAGCCTAACTTTAACCTTAAATGAAGACCAGAAAGCTAATTTTAGTTTAGCAAATGTTTTAATTAGCCAGATAGCTCGTTACTCACCAAATATGCACCTGAGGCACCTTTTCCGGTCAACAAACAATAAATTTTTAAAAAATTATGTTGTTTGTACATTTGTATTTTTTGCAGTATTACTTTAGTGCCTTATTGCAAACACGATGCACGTTTTGGAATATTTGTATTCTGTACAGGCTTCCTTCTTTTCACTCTGTCAATTAGGTTAGTATTGTGGAGTAACTACAATGTTGTTGATCCATCCTCAGTTTCTCCTATCACAGCCATTAAACTCTGTAACTGTTTTAGAGTCACCATTGACCTTATACAAAATAGCCTCCAACACTCTACTCAGCAAATTGGATGTAGTCTATCACAGTGCCATCCGTTTTGTCACCAAAGCCCCATATACTACCCACCATTGTGACCTGTACGCTCTCGTTGGCTGGCCCTCACTACATATTCGTCGCCAAACCCACTGGCTCCAGGTCATTTATAAATCACTGCTAGGCAAATCCCCGCCTTATCTTAGCTCATTGGTCACCATAGCAACACCCACCCATGGTATGCGCTCCAGCAGGTATATCTCACTGGTCATCCCCAAAGCCAACACCTCCTTTGGCCGCCATTCCTTCCAGTTCTCTGCTGCTAATGACTGGAACGAACTGCAAAAATCTCTGAAGCTGGAGACTCTTATCTCCCTCACTAACTTTAAGCATCAGTTGTCAGAGCAGCTTACCGATCACTGCACCTGTACACAGCCCATCTGTAATTAGCCCCCCCAACTACCTCATCACCATATTGTTATTTATTTTGCTCATTTGCACCCCAGTATCTCGATTTGCACATCATCTTCTGCACATCTATCATTCCAGTGTTAATATTAAATTGTAATTATTTTGCACTATGGCCTATTTATTGCCTTACCTCCATAACTTACTACATTTGCATACACTGTATATAGATGTTCTATTGTGTTATTGACTGTATGTTTAGTTTTATCCCATGTGTAACTCTGTGTTGTTGTTGTTTTTATCGCACTGCTTTGCTTTATCTTGGCCAGGTCGCAGTTGTAAATGAGAACTGGCTTACCTGGTTAAATAAAGGTGAAATAAAAATAAATAAAAAATGCTGAAAACCCTTTGTGGTTTCCTTCCTCTCCGGCAACTGAGTTTGGAAGGTCGCCTGTGTCTTTGTAGTGACTGGGTGTATTGAGACACCATCCAAAGTGTAATTAATAACTTCACCATGCTCAAAAGGGATATTCAACGTCTGCTTTAAAAAAAAAAAAAAAAAGTCTACCAATTGTTACCACAGTCACTAGTTACCATAGTCACAAAGTCATAAACCCCGCCTATTTCTACCATTTCTCTTCTTAAAATCTGATGTTAAACCTAACCCTAACCTCAACCACACTGCTAATCTTATGCCTAACTTTAACCTTAAATGAAGACCAGAAAGCTAATTTTAGTTTTTATGAATTTTTTCGATATAGCCAATCATATTTTTTTTTTTACATGGTTGCCAAGAACTCGATCATGTAAAAAAATTAAGAAAAGGGGGAGAAAGAAAAATGGAGGCATATAGCCTATAATTTAGTTTGAGCAATAATATGAATTGTGTGGTAAAACCAAAGGTGTGTGCTATTTTAATCAAAGGTGTAAGGACATTTCTACAGTTATGGCCAAATATATTGGCACCCTTGCACTTTTCTTAAATAATTGCCTATTTCTTCTTTTTTTTAAATGTTGGTCTCCACACCTTGTTATTGGATTTTCAGCATTGCCGAATCAATTTTATTTTTGTAAACTTAAGTTTACAATTTTAATTTAGAAAATAACAGTGGGGTAAACTACTTAAGGAGTTTTTTGGGGTATCCAATTCACGCACCTATCAATATAACGCATTGTCATCCCTACTGCCTCTGATCTGGCGGACTCACTAAACACAAATACTGCGTTTGTAAATTATGTCTGGGTGTGGGAGTGTGCCTCTGAATAGAAATGGAGATAGGAAGGAAGGCGGGAAATAAATGTAAGTCTTTCTGTTTTTATTTGAAGGATGTGGAGGGAAGCCCTTGTGGAGGGAAATGACCTCACTAAACAGGTAAGATAAATGAGAAAGGCAAGGAGAGGTAGACTGTCAGTAAACCTTTTTCACCATTTAAGTAAAGCCTACTACTAATAAGACCATACATTTTGATGTAGACACTAATGGGATTTCTTGTTACCTGTGCCAGACCTATATGATTTTCATATACGCATTGTAGGCTACCTAACTGTGGCCAAAACATTTCTAACTGCCCACAAACAAAATAATGATATAGCTGGCTACTACACAGAGGCGCTGTCCATTCAGCACCATGCCACGGAGCTCCACTATGCCAGGGTTTCTTTCTTGTCTATATTGAATACATCATTTAAACATTCACAGTGTAGGTTGGAAAAAGTATGTGAACCCCTTGGCTAATGACTTCTCCAGAAACAAATTGGAGTCAGGAGTCAGCTAACCTGGAGTCCAATCAACGAGATTGGAGATGTTGGTTAGAGCTGCCCTGCCCTACAAAAAACACTCACAAAATGTGAGTTTGCTATTCACAAGAAGCATTGCCTGGTGAACCATGCCTCAAACAAAAGAGATCTCAGAAGACCTAAGATTAAGAATTGTTGACTTGCATAAAGCTGGAAAGGGTTACAAAAGTATCTCTAAAAGCCTTGATCAGTCCACGGTAAGACAAATTGTCTATAAATGGAGAAAGTTCAGCACTGTTGCTACTCTCCCTAGGAGTGGCCGTCCTGCAAAGATGACTGCACAGCGAAGAATGCTCAATGAGGTTAAGAAGAATCCTAGAGTGTCAGCTAAAGACTTACAGAAATCTCTGGAACATGTTGACGAGTCTACGATACATAAAACACTGAACAAGAATGGTGTTCATGGGATGACACCACGGAAGAAGCCACTGCTGTCCAAAAAGAAACATTGCTGCACGTCTGAAGTTCGCAAAAGAGCACCTGGATGTTCCACAGTGCTACTGGCAAAATATTCTGTGGACAGATGAAACTAAAGTTGAGTTGTTTGGAAGGAACACACAGCACTATGTGTGGAGAAAAAAAGGCACAGTACACCAACATCAAAACCTCATCCCAACTGTAAAGTATGGTGGAGGGAGCATCATGGTTTAGGGCTGCCTCAGGGCCTGGACAGCTTGATATCATCGACCGAAAAATAAATTCCAAAGTTTATCAAGACATTTTGCAGGAGGATGTAAGGCTATCTGTCCACCAATTGAAGCTCAACAGAAGTTGGTTGATTGAACAAGACAACGACTCAAAACACAGAAGTAAATCAACAACAGAATGGCTTCAACAGAAGAAAATACGCCTTCTGGAGTGGCCCAGTCAGAGTCCTGACCGCAACCTGATTGAGATGCTGTGGCATGACCTCAAGAGAGCGGTTCACACCAGACATCCCAAGAATATTGCTGAACTGAAACAGTTTTGTAAAGACGAATGGTCCAAAATTCCTCCTGACTGTTGTGTAGGTCTGATCCGCAACTACAGAAAACGTTTGGTTGAGGTTATTGCCACCAAAGGAGGGTCAACCAGTTATTAAATCCAAGGGTTCACATACTTTTTCCACCCTGCACTGTGAATGTTTACACGGTGTGTTCAATTAAGACATGAAAACGTATAATTGTTTGTGTGTTATTAGTTTAAGCAGACTGTGTTAGTGTGTTGTTGTGACTTAGATGAAGATCAGATACCAATTTATTCAGAAATCAGGTAATTCCAAAGGGTTCACATACTTTTTCTTGCCACTGTATGCCTTTTATTTCAATGCATGTGTAGGATTTTTCTGGCATAGTTTGCATTCGCGGTCAGCTGTTTTATGCACTGGTTACTTTCACAGTGATGACGGTATTTGAAGTCGGCCTTGTTGTGACTTGATAGCGTGTATAATGCATCTATTTCATGTCGCACTGTATGCGCAGTTCCCACAAGTAGAGTTAATTTATGAGGAGGTTGAGTAGTGGTTGACATTGTACACAGAGTTCCACAGACATTTACATTTACATCATTTAGCAGATGCTCTTATCCAGAGCGACTTACACATTGGTGCATTCAACATATGATAGCCAGTGGGACTACCACATATTTTTTGATGAGGGGGGGGGGGGGGGGGGGGGGTAGGGTTTCAAGTGTCTCCAGAAGGTGAACTTAATATAATTCATGCCTGGGGTAATTTTGTTTGTTTTTGCTGTTCTCCAAATATCATTTTAGAGTTGAGTTTGTGCCATACCCTAGGTTTAGCTGAACTGACGCCACTGCATGATATATAACTATAACAGAGAAATTGCGCAGAAATCTTTAAAAATTATCTTAACAGGCCCTTGGGCCGCTGGCCATGTCACCTTTCTCATTGTTTTATTTAAAATATATATTTTTGTGTGTCAATTTCCACCAGCCCACCCAACAAAAATATGGTCCAGCACATCTGGCATTTGCCAGAATTGCCAGATGGCCAATCTGCCCCTGGCTGTGATAGTTGTAGGCCTAATTTATATTTTCATTAATTTTCCCAGTAAGCTAGTGCAATTTTGGATTCATATATTGGCATGAAAATAAACACAACTGAACAACTTGCTATTTAGAGCATTTCCCCAAAATACATGTCCTGTTTTTGGCTTCAAAGACTATAATAATTGTAGGTTATAACAAATGTGCATTGTCATGCAGTGACATCATTATAATTGAGATAATGCAAATCATTAATAATTCCTTAGTTGGGCAAACTATTATCATACTCTGCTTGCATCCCTAATCCCTACCTGTAGCCTACAAAAAAAAACATCATTTTCGGGACACACCGTTCTTATTATACATCAGTGGGACACACTTGTGACTTGAATGATGCAATTCATGTTCCACATTTAAATTATAAAATGAGCGTGCAATTTAAATGAGAAAATTCACCCTGATATTTTACAAGATATAAACCTCAGTAACATTTCACCTCTACGGGATCGGTGACCCGTATACGGGACGGTTGAGCTAACATGCACTAATGTGATTAGCATGACTGTTGTAAGTAACAGCAAACTTTCCAGGACATAGACATGTCTTATATGGGCAGAAAGCTTACATTCTTGTTAATCTAACCGCACTGTCCAATTTACAGTAGCTATTACAGTGAAGAAATACCATGCTATTGTTTGAGGAGAGTGCACAACAACAACAAAAAATTATCACAGCAACTGGTTTGATACATTCACCTCTGAAGGTAAATAATGTACTTACATTCAGTAATCTTGCTCTGATTTGTCATCCTGAGGGTCCCAGAGATAAAATGTAGCATAGTTTTGTTTGATAAAATACATTTTTATATTCAAATGTAGGAACTGGGTTCTACAGTTTGAACCCTTGCTGTCTCTCGCTCCACCCCCACCCCGCCCGGCCATCTAGATGTGTGAAAGTTAGTGTATAAGCTAATGATCCATCATGTATGACATTCCTGGGAGTGTGTAAACTTACATTTGGTATACCATATCATTTTTGTATGTTCTCTATAGTTATGTACTTGAAAATGTATCAATTGACCAATTCGGCACATTTGGACAGACTTGATACAAAATAGTTCAGTATTGCAGTGCTTCACTGGACCTGAAACTTTGCACACACACTGCTGCTATCTAGTGGCCAAAATCTAAATTTTGCCTAAACTGCAATATTATTTTGTGGCCTTTCTCTTGCATTTATTTCAAAATTGATGGAACAAAAAACAAAAAACAAAACAAAAAAAACGCATGTTTTTTTGTTTGTATTATCTTTTACCAGATCTAATGTGTTATATTCTCCTACATTAATTTCACATTTCCACAAACTTCAAAGTGTTTCCTTTCAAATGGTATCAAGAATATGCATATCCTTGCTTCAGGTCCTGAGCTACAGGCAGTTAGATTTGGGTATGTCATTTTAGGCGAAAATTGAAAAAAAGGGTCCAATCCATAAGAGGTTAAACATTTAATTTGGGAGGTACTTCATATATGACATGTGTCAAGCCTCGACATCAAACACAAACAAATACAGGTAGCTCATAATTAGGCACGCCTCTCCATTATTTTGTGTAAAATTGCGCAAACTCAAAAAATAACGCGGGGGATACCACCTCGAAGTGTCTAATTATCCCTACACAATGTTCAAGCCCTCAGTTTTGGGACATTTGTGAAATGGCGGAGGCCCGAGGGGAATTTGAAGGGGGTGATTTGGGATAGACCCTAGGTCTCTACACACGGTAGGCGGGTTTTCTCTTTGATCAACTGCCCGTCTGTAAACAACATTGCGCGGTTCTGATAAAAATCGGTTCAATTTTTCGACGTATCTTCAAGCGCGCTCCCGTCGAGCGGTTGTAGTCGCCCGCATCTGTGTGGGTGAGCACGAGGAGACAATTTTCATTTCACCATTGACAGTTTTTTTTTTTTCATTAAATCATTGTTTACTGAAATAACCATACACATACCAATTTATACTTTTACTTCAATAACAACTTTGTTTTCTTTGCCCTGTCACATCAACATAACAGCTAACGTTAGCTAGCTACTAGCATAGGACGATCTGAGGAAACGTTTCAGATTTCTTCAGGTCTTGATTTTCACGTTTGACTCAGACCATACTACTAGCTGGTCTAAGCAAAGGTAAGACATGGCGACTTCATCTGTAGACCAACATGTTTGTAACGCAACAAATGAATTGTGTGGTTGTCCCATAGACTTGTCTGCCGGCTCCTGTCTACATAGCCAGCCGAAGTGCGCTTACGTCGTTAGCCAACGTAGCCGGCTAACTAGCTGTGCTGTAACGTAGTTGCTTAGATTACTAGTTAGTTAGCTACCAAATGAATGTCTATGCTTGCTGACCTTCTAACTAGTTAGCATTTCTCGTCGAGCGTAGCTAGTTTCAAAGCAAGTTGGTTCTTTAACTAATGTATCTACGTTAGCTAGTTACTAAAACATGTCAAAATATAATTTAATCACATTGTTGCCAGTGATTCATTTCTCTCACACTTCTCTCCTGTCACCTGACAGGTCAGGAACAACCCCTCAGAAAACATCTCACTAGTGACCATTCATGAACAACCACTCCTCAGCAGAATGATGAAACACACACACAGCTGGTGCCAGACACCCCCCTCAGTCACTGTGAGAATCAAACCCAACACAGCACACACCCTCCAGGTCAAGCGAGGCTTGCGGCTGAAGAGACCCAACCTGCAAGAGGCCCAGGGGCCGCCGGGCAAGAGTCAGCCCAGCCAACGTAAAATCGAGGCCGCAAAGGGCAAAATCATATGGGGCCCGACGCTTGTCATTCAACGAGACGAGATGGCAGCCTTCTTCAGGCTTTTTGGTGAGCCAAAGAGAACAACACACTTACACCAGTCATAATATCTGAGATTGTTTGTTTAAAGTTGATAGAGCTCTCACCAATGTGTTTATTTTATTGAGGCTTGGCACATAATCTCAGATTAGAGACAATGAGCAGTCGGTGTCTCATGCAACTTCCTTTGGTTATAGATGACGATCTGATACAAGACTTTCTGTGGATGGACTGCTGTTGCAAAGTCACAGACAAGGTAACAAGCATTGTTTTGGAGGGTACCAATTTCATTTGTGTAGTGATTAACATATACAACTAGGGATGGGCATGACTACTCGAACGGACGTCAAAACTCGGATCTTTAACCAGAGATTAAAAAAAAGTCTAATACTGTGAAACTATTTGGTCGACATTTTGTCTTGAAGACCACGTTAATTTTATTTGACTCTAGTGTTCCGTTTGTACGTGTGCATTTGCGTGACACAACAAAAAAGAAACCAAGCCAAGCATCAGTTCTCCCTAAATTCCCTTTTTACCCTAGGTCTCACTCACTCAATTGCGTTCCGACCATTCTCTCTACATAAACGTGCTGAGTACGCACACAACCTCCCGTTAGGCCTACATAAATGGCTATAAAAACGTATCTAACTGATGGGATACACAAGCTACATTCCTTGCCAAATGATGACAGTTTTATCACAAATTGAAAATGGACTGGTTGACTGAAGTCGGGAAATGTGTTCCGATAACTAGCTGAAGGTTTGGACTAATTGCGTCCCGTCTATTTTCTGCCTAGGCTACTTTGCGTTTACCACAGCCACAGTCAAACTTGGCTATATCGAAAACAGAAATGAGCTTTTTGGTCTTAATTTAATGTTAGGCATAAGTTTGGCAATGTGGTTAGGTTTAAAATCAGATTTTAACAAAATTGTAGAAATAGGCAGGGTTTATGACTTTGTGGCTAGGGTTTGACTTTGTGGCTGTGGTAACTAGTGACGACCCTACTTTGCGAACTGCTAGTGCCATTTATAATTGGTTAGCCTAGGCTATAACGTCCCTAAACATAGACAGGTTCCACACTGAAAATATGCAGAAACATTTGTTTGATAAAGACGAGCGTATTTTCATCAGAATCATTAAGCCTAGGCCTACTCACCAAACAGATGTCGTGGCTGTAATCCATCCCCATGAAGTGTGTTCAATGTGAAATTGTGTATCGATTTGGAAAATTCCAAAGAACAGGCAGAATTTATTTTACCTTTATTTAACTAGGCAAGTCAGTTAAGAACAAATTCTTATTTACAATTATGGCCTACAGCCAAACCCAGACGACGCTGGGCCAATTGTGCGACCTATGGGACTCCCAATCAAGGCCGGTTGTGATACAGCCTGGAATCGAACCAAGCACTTAGATGCAGTGCCTTAGACCACTGCGCCACTCGGGAGCCCACTAAATCAAAATTGAAACTAAATAGAAAAGACTGACGTTTTTTTTATTTCGTCTTGCCAAATTGAGCCCAGTTTCAAATGATCACTCATTGAGAATAACTATTCGAGATGCGCATCACTTCGCACTGTTTTATTCTGTTGTTATATTACATGTTTTTTAAAACTTTTTTAAAATGGTGTCTTGACTGTAGTAAGAGCTCGGTAAATAAGAGCATGTCTGCTAAATTAACAAAACAAGGCTTTGCCATTGCACAGCCATGGGCTTCTACAAGCAAGCATGACCGCTGAGGTTACTACCTTTTTGAAGATTGTGTTCCACAATATAATGTAACCAGTTGATATTGCGGTTTCAATCAATTAATCTTAAATAGCACTTGTTATAATTTCGCAAATCAGGATTCGTAATGGTGATAATAAATTATGCATTGTTGCGCATGGTTGGCATATAGATAAATGTGCAACAAAAAACATCCCAGTGCGGGCCTTGTGTTCTAAAAATAGCTATTTTTAAAATGTTATTCAAGTACTCTGAAAGAAATCATGAAAGAATTCGAACAGTCAAAACAGTTAATGCCCATCCCTGTATACAAGCCATGATGATGCATCTTAACATATTAACTCATTTCAACTCCAATTCAACCTCTCTGCCCTATTTTTCAGTACCTTCTAGCTATGGCGTTTGTCTACTTCAAGAGGGCTCGCTTCAGTATGGGCGAGCACAACAGAACAAACTTTTTCATTGCACTGTAAGTTCAGTGAGACCTCTCTGTGAATCTACTACTCTGAAATAAATAGTTGACTCGCTGTATTCTGAACATCTGAGTAACCTTCAATGGATGCATTTCTATCAGTCTATAAGTCCTAAATGTATCCCTTGTTGAGAACAGAACCGAATGGGCCCCTGTATTTCAGTCAACCAGTGCAGACTGTGACACAACTTTAGTAATTGTAGAGCTACTTATCCCCCCCCCCCAAAAAAAAAGAGGGAGAGAATTCATTGTACAACTGGCAACAAAAAGCTAGGAGGTAGGGAATCCTATTTTTGATATCTCATGCCCCTCTTGGGATCATTTTGTGCCACTTTTCCTTTCAGATACCTAGCCAACACCATGGAGGAGGACGAGGAGGAGAGCAAGTATGAGATCTTCCCATGGGCGCTGGGCAAGACCTGGAGGAAGCACTTCCCTCGCTTTCTCAAGCAACGGGACAAGCTGTGGGCGCGCATCGAGTACCGGGCTGCTGTCAGCCGCCGCTGCTGCGAGGAGGTAGCTAGACAAAACCATTACATGTAATGATGATGGATTAGGTGTTGGTCTTTCTCTTGTTCTGGTTGGAATTCTAACTTGACGTCCCCGTGCATAACTCAGACGGCTGCATAAATCAAGCATGCTGTCAGTCAGAGATTTGGAACAACATTTGAGATAACCACATGGATGTCAAGTTACTAGGATTTGTTCTTCTGTGTCTTACTGCAATTGTCACCTGCAATGTAATTTTATCTCCGAACTCTGACAATACAAAATGTACCATCTCTCCTCTTGAATTGGCTGTGTCTTTGACCATGTTTATCTATCCTTGTCTATTTCTGTGTGTGTGTGTTTGCGCCCTCCTTCCAGGTGATGGCCATCGTGCCTACCCACTTCATCTGGCAGCGGGAGCGCGCTGAGCACCACAGTGGTGCTCAGCGGTTCTACATTGGCGACCGGGAGAAGGTCCACATGCCCCGTGGGCCCTCCGCCTCCCCTGCCCCCTGTGCCCTCTGCGCCCAGAGCTCTGGCCTGGGCCTCTCTTCCTCCTCGGCCTCTGGATCCTCCACCTCCCTTACGCCCTCCTCCCCGCTACCCTTTGCCCTGGCCCTCTCCCTGGAGACCACTCCACCCAGGGCCCAGGCTTCATCCTCCCGCAGACCGTGCCAAATAAAGACCAAGGTCCAAACCAAGGCCCAGCGCCGCTACTGCTGCACCGAGGAGGCCCCAAGTGAGTGCAGGCGTTGGTTACAGGATGGCTGTGCTGTGGTTAATTTCTGAATTATATATTTTTGCTTCAAAATTATGACTATATTGACTGGCAAGGTTTGCTTGAAGTTATATTAAAATATAATCTATGTTGAGTGTCAGCAGCCAAGTTTTGCTGTATCTATTTCTAACTTCTGCTCTGAAGTAAAACACCCAGCAAAGATTTGTTAGACCCTCAATATATTATCTTTCTCCTTTAACAACACTCATGTCTTCGCTAACAATTTCAATGTGTTTTGTCAGGGAACGAGTCTTATTATGGAGCAGGACACGACCCGTCTATGGACTGGATCAACGAGGAGTAGAATAGTACTACAAAGAACCAACTCAGGACTACATTTACCATCCCTGGTCCTGTGATGCACTGATACCCTATGTGTGCTTACTTTTCATTCATATTTCATTTTCATAACATCTACAGAATGCCAATTTACTGCTCTACCTCGATTAGGTGGTTTAAATGGAAACTAGCATCCACTGGGGACTAAATCCTATCTTGAGGATTTGTGTAACTCAACATGTAATTATAACTCGTAGGTGTTACTCAAACTTGAGTGTAGTTTGTCATTGATGTCATGTGTCATTTCTCAAGTTAGGAATTGGTTCAGGGCTTCTTGGATCAGGGTTTAACTTTATCGTTGCTGTAGGTAAGGGCAAGTAACATTTCCCTCAACTGTCCTGACAGGCCTCATTCCACAGGCCATGAAATGTGAAACATGTCAGTTAAAACATTTACTTCACTTTATGTTCTGTGTATACTTTTTACATAAAAAACCTGTACAAAGATTTGTCAAATTCTCGGCGCCGTCAGCTGTGTAGTAAATCGGACTGTCATTGCTTGAAAAAAAAAAAAGCACATTAATCCTTTAAGGTGCACACACTTGATTTAACATATAATTGATTAATCACTCAAAACACTTGTTTATTTATTTGCTGGAGCACTTCAAGGTCTTGCACAGTTAGTGGTGGGCACATTGGTTGAATATTTGGATCCTGTAATGGACTTGTGGCAAACTTGACCAATTCCTTAAATGTAAATCTGCTGGATGGATATGTACAGCATTTGATCCATGAGTGAAGGCTTTATTGGCCAATGGGGTTGTTCTGTGATACTAAGGTGCCAGTCAAATGGCATTTCAATAAAGGCTTCTTATGTCCCCATTAGTTTGGTGTTTTATTTAGTCTTTATATTTGAAGTGTTGTCAAGCAGTATGAATTTCTATTATATCTCAACTGATTTTAGGACAACTAAACCACTACATTTTCCTCTGCAGTACCAAATCACCCAAAATGTTCTCAGACAAGGCAACTCACATTTATTGATTAATAGAAAATATCCAAATCGCTCTTCTCATGAGTCTTCACATGCGAGGAAGGAGGCTAGCTACCCCTGACTCTTCCTCAGTTTCACCAGGAACGCTGAAAGGACAAAATGTCACAGTGAACAAGACAATACCGTGGATGTATTCAGAGATAATCATTCAGAATGTAGCAGATAAAAATGTAATGAATAGAGCTGCCCGATTCTGCATGACAGAATCATCTGTTCTACAAAAAGCATTTCTATCAATGATTTTTTTTTACGTTGAACCCTTCTGAACAGACCCCACATCGAATAGGCAATGTTGCACTTTCAGTGGCATCATTAGTTAGGTTTCCATCCAATTTGCAACATTTTCATGCACATTTTCCCATAATAGGGGTGTTTCCATCAAACAGACTTGTTGCAGATAAAAGGCTGTGCGTGACGATGTGGGGCACAAACACTTTGCGCTTACATTTTCAAGTACCGAATAAAAAACAAGTTCAACGTGTTTCCATTGTATTTTCCACTCTACCAATGGTTTTGTCACACAAACTGTTCCGATAAATGTCAAACTTGCCCAATCTGGGTTTGGCGCATGCGCTCTAATCTAGACAACGGTTTGCTGGTAAAGTGTTAAGGGTTGGTTATGATGAGATCTGGATAAGAGCAATATTTTTTATTTGATAATTGGCAGCCAGGCATTGATCATGTCATTAGCATTCAAATAATACCCTCAATATTTATTGGTAATTTGCATCAAGCTCATCACTTAACCACCATTAAAAGTAGACCGGTATACTCGGCTAAATGACTATCGACATTTGTGAAATTGTACCGACACAGTGTTTCCATCACACCTGTCATGATGTAATGTCATACAATATGACTTTACTCGCATAAAAACTGGATGGAAACGTGGTTATTGACACTGACCTGTGTGGCTAGCTTGCTCCGGGTGAGGTCGAGCAATGTAAGGGACACTCCCATATGGTGCGGGTTCCGGACTGCTGGTGTATTCTGAAAGAATAACAAAAAGTGTGGTGTAACACAATATTACTAAATAGAGGACTTTTATTTAGAAAAAGTCAGTGATCTTGTGCCTTCTGAAAATATCACGTGAAAAGACAGGGTCAAAATAACACATTTCTGTCAAAGGGAACCATATAATGCAACGGCAGCAGGATATTATTATAATTGCCTTTAGTTTAGACAGACATTATGACATCCAAGGTAACCCAAGCACCCCCATGTGACCAGATGATTTGAACAAGAAATCACCTTTTTTTTCATCTGATTTGTCATTCTCTCCTTTCTCCTCTTCCTCCTGGCTTCTCGCTGAGGGAGGGGCTTTCCTGCGGCAGAACCGCCCATCTTTCTGGATTGCCGGGGCCAACAGCCAATCCCTGAGCTGCACTTCGATGATGCGTTCACACAGCATGGGGAGGGCAGACCATCGGAGTCCCTCCAGTAGATCAATGACCTGCGTTATACTGAATCACACAGTAGAGAGAGTGAAGGAGACATGTAAAGTATATGAGGAAATGAGGGCCCTGACCAGAAATAACCTCTAGCCCCTAACCCCTTAGACACTTGTGGAGATCTGAGAGGATTGGACAGGTGTATGCAGTGTTTATGGGGTATGGGCTAGGGGTTGTTTATGGACGGGTCGAGGTTACTCACTTGGCTAGGTAGACAGCACAAACTGCTCCGGGATGGAGATGTGGAGTCACAGTGGGCAAAACCAAATGAGGGCTTACCATATCCAGAGCAATCTGAAACACACACACACACACACACACAACTTTGAAGTTTCTGAAGGTTTGTCTTTCAAGTGACTGGTCAAGGGACGGTTTCCCGGACACAGATTCAACTCCTGGGTTGAAAACCATGATTAGTGCCGGAGTCTGGTGCAGCAGTAATGCTCCCGAATCCTGACCACACATACCCCCATGGTGACGGGGGTTCGAGCCCCGTCGCGGCCACTCGGTCTATGCCCCCAGAAGTCCTACTTCTACCCCTCTATTTCTCTGTATGTCCTATCATAAACTATAAGATTTCCAAGGAGATTTGCCTTACACTGCAAAAAAAGGTAATTATACAAAAATACACCAGTATACAGAATTGCTCAATAAAAAACGATAAATGACATGCACTCAATTACAAGCGAAAGAGACATATCCTTACAGAGTGAAAGCCTCGCCCGGCAAGGAGCAAGGATGCCCCCTGCAGGTCAGCGTTCAGAAACTGGACGTTGTCGGGCCATTCCTCTCCTCGCCGCAGGATCCAGGAGGAACGCCAGCGGTTGTAGTTGAGCACGGCTCGTCTGTGGTGGTCCTCCCTGCTTTCCACACTCATAACGCTGCCCTTGGAGCCCACTGGGGAGAACAATAATAATATAATAATAATAATAATAATAATAATAATAATAATAATAATACATGCTATTTAGCAGAGACTTTTACGGTGTTTTCACACTTGGTCCCTTTCAGCCAATTTTTGTGAACTCAGTGCGGTTAGTTTAATTTTTCGTGCAGTGTGAAAACTCCAAAGTAACTCAGACCCCTCAAAAGAACCTCGAAGTGAACCAAACTGAGACCATCTCGAGAGGTGGTCTGAGTTCGGTTCGCTTGAATTCCGCAGTCCGGTTCCCTTTTTTAGGGCAAAGTGAAACCAAAGCTCCCCAGGTTTGCTTGTCATTATTCCCACACCACACACTAGACTACTGCAACACCATTTCCCTTGCCATAAACCCTCACATTGGTGCCACAAAAGAGAGAAGATGATGTGCAGGTTTGCTGGGAAAATGTGTGCTGTTTTTGGATATTGATTAGCGATGGTCAAGGACGCACAGAAATTCCAACATTTGTGGAGGTTTTAGTTCAGATTATTTGTTTGCAATATGTGATCTATAGGCTAAGATAGCTTCATAAGCTGTTTATTGATTGTGGGTTTGAATAGTGTGAGAAGACAACCTATTTGGTGAGAATCACAACATAGATTTTGTACCCTATTCTAGTCCTTAAAGAGGCAGTAGCCTACCTTGGGTGTACAATTTTCAATTACAGCATTATTTATTCTGCTATTTACTCTGTTAGCAATCAAATGTACAGGTTAATAGTATCTTCTGATTACAATTATTATGTCTCATATTTTAATTAAAAGCAATCAATTAGCAGAGTGGTGCCAGGAAAATAACCACTCCCTCAACGTCAACAAAACAAAGGAGCTGATCGTGGACTTCAGGAGACAGCAGAGGGAGCACGCCCCCATCCACGGGGCCGCAGTGGAGAAGGTGAAAAGTTTCAAGTTCCTTGGCGTACACATCACTGAATCTAAAATGGTCCACTCACACAGACAACGTGGTGAAGGTGGCGCAAAAAGCCCCTCTTCAACCTCAGGAGGCTGAAGAAATGTGGCTTGGCCCCTAAGACCCTCACAAACATTTACAGATGCACCATTGAGAGCATCCTGTCAGGCTGTATCACCGCCTGGTACGGCAACTGCACCGTCCGCAACCGCAGGGCTCTCCAGAGGGTGGTGCGGTCAGCACAATGCATCACCGGGAGCACACTGCCCTTCAGGACATCTACAGCACCCGATGTCACAGGAAGGCCAAGAAGATCATCAAGGACCTCAGCAACCCGAGCCACAGCCTGTTCACCCGCTATCATCCAGAAGGCGAGGTCAGTATAGCTGCATCAAAACTGGGACAGAGAGTCTGAAAAACTGCTTCTATCTCAAGGCCATCAGACTGTTAAATAGCCATCACTAGCCGGCCTCCACCCAGTACCCTGCCCTGAACTTAGTCACTGTCACTAGCCGGCTATCACCCGGTTACTCATCCCTGCACCTTAGAGGCTGCTGCCCTATGTACATAGACATGGAACACTGGTCACTTGAATAATGTTTACATACTGTTTTACCCATTTCATCTGTATATTCTGTATTCTAGTCCATCCGATTCAGCTATTGCTGTACATACTGTATACTATTCTATCCACGTATTCTTCAGATATACTATATACACATACTGTCCATAATGTCTATACATCCCATCACACACATATACAGTACCAGTCAAAAGTTTGGACACACCTACTCATTCAAGGGTTTTTCTTTATTTGTAATATTTTCTACATTGTATAATAATAGTGAAGACATCAAAACTATGAAATAACACATACGGAATCAAAAAGTGTTAAACAAATCAAAGTATATTTTATATTTGAGATTCTTCAAATAGCCACCCTTTGCCTTGATGACAGCTTTGCACACTCTTGGCATTCTCTCAACCAGAGTCACCTGGAATGCTTTTCCAACAGTCTTGAAGGAGTTCCCACATATGCTGAGCACTTGTTGGCTGCTTTTCCTTCACTCTGCCGTCCGACTCATCCCAAACCATCTCAATTGGGTTGAGGTCGGGGGTTTGTGGAGGCCAGGTCATCTAATGCAGCACTCCATCACTCTCCTTCTTGGTAAAATAGCCCTTACACAGCCTGGAGGTGTGTTGGGTCATTGTCCTGTTGAAAAACGAATGATAGTCCCACTAAGCCCAAACCAGATGGGATGGCGTATCACTGCTGAATGCTGTGGTAGCCATGCTGGTTAAGTGTGCCTTGAATTTGAAATTAATCACAGACAGTGTCACCAGCAAAGCAACCCACACCATAACATCTCCTCCTCCATGCTTTACGGTGGGAAATACATATGCAGAGATCATCCGTTCACCCACACCACATCTCACAAAGACACAGCGGTTGGAACCAAACATCTCAAATTTGGCCCAAGCAAGTCTCTTCATCTTATTGGTGTCCTTTAGTAGTGGTTTCTTTGCAGCAATTTGACCATGAAGGCCTGATTCACACAGTCTCCTCTGAACAGTTGATGTTGAGATGTGTCTGTTACTTGAACTCTGTAAAGCATTTATTTGGGCTGCAATTTCTGAGGCTGGTAACTCTAATGAACTCTGGGTCTTCCATTCCTGTGGCGGTCCTCATGAGACCCAGTTTCATCATAGCGCTTGATGGTTTTTGCGACTGCACTTGAAGAAACTTTCAAAGTTCTTGAAATGTTCCGTATTGACTGACCTTCATGTCTTAAAGTAATGATGGACTGTTGTTTCCTTTACTTATTTGAGCTGTTCTTGCCATAATATGGACTTGGTCTTTTACCGGTAGTGTATATTTATCCTCCGGACACTGACATTGCTCATCCTAATATTTCTATATTTCTTAATTCCATTCTTTTACTTTTAGATGTGTGTGTATTGTTGTGTATTGTTAGATATTACTGCACTGTTGGAGCTAGGAACACAAGCATTTCGCTACACCCGCAATAACATCTGCTAAACATGTGTATGCAACCAATAAAATGTGATTTGCTTCCTAAATGTAAGTAGGTATATCTAGCTGTCTGATAACACATTCTGATTGAATGGCTTGTCCTGCACTTTGTGAAAACCCAGGGTGCATGTTGGAAACAGATCTTGGTTCCTTTCTAAACATAGCAACGTGAGAGGACTCAGTCCACAAAATAGTTGAAGTGAACTGGCAAAAGAGCTGAGTCCTCATTCAAAGGCAAGGGCAGTGTGAATACAAAGAGAACTGAGTTATTTTGCTTTTTTTATACCCCAGTTCACTTTAAAGAGGACTGAGATAAGTTATTTTAAAGAGGACTATATGTGAGAACACCCTTATCCAAGCGACTTGGTTGGCCCAAGCAGGAATCGAACCCACAACCCCTGGCGTTGCAAACGCTATGCTCTTACCGACTGAGCCACACAGGACCAAGACAAGAAAGAGGGGTATCGGGGACACCCAAAATTGCCAATCTTGGATTATTCATTTTGAGATTAAGGCTTTCTGATTTCTTCTAGTGAAGGCTTAGAATATGGATGCAGTTTAACTTTCCCCTGTATTGTATGACAACCAGCCACACAAGCATCTGTCCACTTTCACTCATCATCACTCATAGCAAACACGTGATAAATAAAGAAATATACAAACCAGCTCGGGACAGGAAAAGTGACATGGCCCCCGACCCGGAGCCTGACTCCAACACACAGTCTCCCTCTGTGACATCCATCATCATCAGCATTGTACTGGCATCCTGGAGAGAGAGGAAGAGAGAGTGCGAAAGTGAAAGAGAGACAGAAAAACTCATAGGATATAAGTCTTTCCTACAATTACCTGTTGTAGCTAAGTATGTATTTTACAGCTGTATTATGCAGTTACCAAAGTCTAATCTCTGATATCAAATCATGTCATGTTTGATTCCACAAGCCAAGCCAACACAGTCAAGACTATACAATTGGGCTTGTGATAGCACTGCAGGCCTTCCCCATAAGTAACAATGATACTGCTCAGTAGCATGATGTATTCTGGGAAAACAAAGTTCTGTCTCTTCCAGTACCAGACAGGAGCATATACTACATACAATACCTTTGGATAGGCGATTGCCGGCCCCCTCTTCATATACAGCACGTATTCCTCCAGGTTGGGCCGGCGTATAAGGATGGGTGTCCCGTGGATGGTCCGAATGAAGTCTCCCGCGTGGCGGCCGGCAATGTCACTGTGCCCGATGGTGCCCCAACTGCTCTGGAGACGTTGCCCATCCTGCAGCTGAAACATCTTCCTAAACTCCACGCGGCCTTTCTTCCGGTACTCTGCCAAAAGTAGTTCCCCGAAAGTGAGTAAATGCTCCCCGGGAAGAAGGGTGGGCGTCATAGGAGTCACGTATCCCTCCTCTTGCGAAGACTTTGTTCCCTCTCTGAGAATCGGGCAACCATTTGGCTCTAGTACTGTGTTATCAATGACAGTACCCTCCTCTTTTTCTTCTCTCGCTCGAACTGTGTCATGTCCTATGTGCACCTCTTGCTCTGCACTTTCTACTTCTCCTTGTGAGCTGTGGGTCTTGTGGTCTTTTTGAACCCCAACCCCATCGGATTCCCTCTGTTCCACTTCCTGGTTCTCCTCTCTCAGCTGCAACACCTCTGGGGCTATGGAGTCCTGGGGCAAAAGGCGGTTAATCCTCTCCAAGGGCGAGAGGGGTCGCCTTTTACCAAACAAACTTCTTCCCAGGGTGTGCATAGGGGTTAGAGTCTGGGGTGAGGAGTCAGGGTTGTCTGTTGTTTTGCTCCCATTCTCATTTTCCCCTTTCTCCCCCTTAGGATCAGTCCCGAAGCTCCTTATGTACAGTGTACATCTAGGGAGTTGACTTTTGGGATGGAGCTGCCTGTATCCCTGCTGGCCAATGCAGGTGACACATATCCGCACCAGTCTTTGTGTGAGGAGAGACCCACCTAACTGTAACCCAACAGACATCAGTGCAGAGTAAAAGTGGAGTAAAACTGTGTGTGCTGAATTGGTACCATGTAGATAGTGTTTTCATGACACCAGCATGTTGCATTCAGTGTTCAATGCTTTTTCAAATCACTAAGTGACACTTGACATATGATGCTGACAGTGACTCGATTTCACAATGACCTTTGTTGGAAAATAACAACCCACATTTGAAAAGTCCGGTCTGTCACAAATGAGAGAAAGCAGAGAAGAGAGAAATTATAGTTATACAGTATACTAGAAATATACTTACAAAACCATGAATAAAATTCAAAATGTGGCACTGGCAGATAGCGTGCAGAACACGATTTATATAGATAACCTATTTTTCTTAAAATGTAATTAACTTACCGTTTAGGTCCCTCCCTGTTGCTTCGCACAATGGATGTCGCCATGCTGTAAAAAGCATGTGTTCTACGTCAATCCAAAGCGACAACCCACGGATGCCGTACTTTCTATTTACCAGTAGATGGTGCTGATTAAATAATTATTTACTGGCGATAAATGCACATGCACTCTCAAAACAGTGATGTACTCAGTTGCTAATGTTTACACTAAAAACGTAATGTCATGCCACCATGCAAAAGAGAAACAAAAAGGTAATGTCATGCCGACATGCAAAAGAGAAACAATTGCTATGGCATGCGCGCATCATTTGTTACTCTTTGCACTGTAGTAGTTAGCTAGAATACTGCCACAGATAGATCTGAATATTTCTTTGAGACATGAATGTGTATCTAGTTGAACTCTTAATAATTAAATTAACACCCAGAGCCACTTCAATGTATCAAAGAGATGGACTGTTTACTTTTCATACGGAATCAGACACCTGGGCTGCGTTCAGTATATAAAAACGTAATAGAACGTTCAAGTGAACGGAAACCGTGATCTACTGAACGACCAGTTGAAAAACTGGGAGCAGGGTTGCCAGGTCTAGCTCAAATTACTAGCTCAAATTACTAGCCCAATTACTGCAACCCTGCAAAGGCCTGAAAACTAGCCCGCTAAAAATGTCACAGCAAGAGAAGAATTGCCACATTTATACAATAAACCGTTTTTCCATAACGTTACCAATTAAGAAGGAATATCGTTGGAAGCAAAATTCGGTTTTACTCAGAATAATAATTATTGCAAGCTATGACATGATGTAATAAAGGAATTTGAATATGTCCCAAGAGAAAATATAATTCATCCTTATTAAACTCAATGGATGACGATTTAACTCGTTTGACTGCTATGATTAAGCAATATGATTAAGCAAGAAGACATAGTGGGTATGGTATATGGTAATATACCACGCAGTGGCAATTTTAGCATGTAAATCTTGGTGGGGCAAACTCAAAATTTTTTGGGGGATGCATCAATCAATCAATCAAATGTATTTATAAAGCCCTATTTACATCAGCAGATGTCACAAAGTGCTATACAGAAACCCAGCCTAAAACCCCAAACAGCAAGCAATGCAGATGTAGAAGCATGCCAGCAAAGCCACTACACAACACTAAACAATACATTAATTGCACTATAAAGGTGACAAACGGTGCCCACATTTTCAGCACCATGGAGTGAATCCTTACCACCGCTACACCTGGCTATCAGCGGAGTCTTGTCTGGCAGTGAAACAGTTCATTCAGCCTCATTTACTTCCTTTTAAAAAAACATAGGTGATATGGCTGACTTGCTTAAACAAATGTGGTTTCTACAGACAATTGAGATGTACAAACTATGGCATAAGGGAACGATGAGCGGATAAGAGGCAATCCGTAATTTAAATTAAGACATTAATGAGCGAGCTAAGACGGACGTAGTCAATATAACCATTTGTTCAGCACTTTTGAAATGTTCAGCGACAGAATTCAGAACATGGGCCGTTAATACAGTATTCTCCCTGTACACCAAGTCAGAACCGTAGGATAAATAAAGGGGGCATATACTGTACGCAGACAATGAAAGCTCTTACAATATTCGATGATATTTCTCTAAAACAGGCTATAGGCTACATGTGCACCACCAAGTCAGAACAGTAGGCACATTTATGAGGGGGAAAGGGACCAAATTATTAGGGTGAGGCACATGGGCTACTAACAGCTTACTACACAACACTAATACACTTAGTATTACTTTCTTAGCTACAGTACACATATCTCCCTGGCATATTACATCATTTATGCAGCAGCATACAATACATTTTTGGACTCACCGTTGTGCTGTGCTCACTTGAACAGGAAGGTGGAGCGGCGGTTCTTCTTGTGGGGAAATTTTGTCATCAAAGTCTGGCATTCTCTGGATTTATGGTGAATTCAAGACAACTGGGAACTCTGTAAAAAAAAAACAAGGTTGAATCATGACATCAGTGATCTTCAGGTCGGAGCTCTAGAAAGAGGGCCGAGTTCCCGACTTGGAATTCAGAGTTGGATGACCGTTCAAAACCTATTTTCCCAGACGGTGCTTGTTTTTTTCACAGTTCCCAGTTGTCTTGAACTCACTGAAGTCTGAGATTTCCCAGTTACGAGTTTCCAGTTGTTTTGAACGCAGCAGAAGTCATGCTGGATTGACAGCATGGCCAATGTATTCAACCTTTTCTGGCCCATGGTGTTGCGTGTGAATGTTTATCCCTTTAAGCTTGGAAAAGAGACCCTTAAACCCAGACTTGGACCACACATCCTCTCCACCGAATAGCAGGGGAAGCATAATAGTGATTGCTTTGCAACGCTTGCATTTAACCACTGATTCCTTTCAGACCACTCATTGTTGAATTTGCAATTTCCAACTTGTTGTGTAATGTTTATATCCAATGGCCGATGAGCACCGATACGTTTTATCTATAATTTCTCTTCATATGACAAGGATTGAAAAGGATTTGCCAGTAGATTGTCAGCGTGATTCATGATTACGACTGCTTGTCTAGCTTGCTAGCTAAGAATTTGAAAGTATGATGTTGACATGATCAGTCCAATCAAAGCTACGGTAGATATAACGTGACGTCATTTTAACTTTGGCCAATGACCTTGAGCCTTCTTGGATGGACACTTCTAATGGACAGTGCATTCGGAAAGTATTCAGACCCCTTCCCCTTTTCTACATTTTGTTACGTTACAGCCTTATTCTAAAGTGGATTCAAATAATTAATCAATCTACACACCATACCCCATAATGACAAAGCGAAAACAGGTTTTTAGAAATGTTTGCAAATGCATAAAAAACAACAACAACAAAAAATACCTTATTTAAATAATAAAATAACTTACTTACATAAGTATTCAGACCCCTTGCTATGAGACTCGAAATTGAGCTCAGGTGCATCCTGTTTCCATTGATCATCCTTGACATGTTTCTACAACTTGATTGGAGTCCACCTGTGGTAAATTCAATTGATTGCACATGATTTGGAAAGGCACACACCTGTCTATATAAGGTCACACAGTTGACAGTGCATGTCAGAACAAAAACCAAGCCATGAGGTTGAAGAAATTGTCCGTAGAGCTCAAAGACAAGATTGTGTTGAGGCATAGATCTGAGGAAGGGTACCAAAAAATTTCTGCAGCATTGAAGGTCCCCAAGAACACAGTGGCCTCCATCATTCTTAAATGAAATAAGTTTGGAACCACCAAGACTTCCTAGAGCTGGCCGCCCGGCCAAACTGAGCAATCGGGGGAGAAGGGCCTTGGTCAGGGAGGTGACCAAGTACCCAACCGTCACTCTGACAGAGCTCCAGAGTTCCTCTGTGGAGATGGGAGAACCTTCCAGAAGGACAACCATCTCTGCAGCACCACCAATCAGGCCTTTATGGTAGAGTGGCCAGACGTACGCCATTCCTCAATAAAAGGCACATGACAGCCCGCTTGGAGTTTTCCAAAAGGCACCTAAAGGACTCTCAGACCATGAGAAACAAGATTCCCTGGTCTGATGGCTTCGGGACAAGTCTCTGAATGTCCTTGAGTGGCCCAGCCAGAGCCCGGACTTGAACCCAATTGAACATCTCTGGACAGACCTGAAAATAGCTGTGCAGCGACGCTCCCCATCCAACCTGACAGAGCTTGAGAGGATCTGCAGAGAAGAATGGGAGAAACTCCCCAAATACAGGTGTGCCAAGCTTGTAGCGTCATATCCAAGAAGACTCAAGGCTGTAATCGCTGCCAAAGTTGCTTCAAGAAAGTACTGAGTAAAGGGTCTGAATAGTTATGTTAATGTGATATTTCTGTTTCTAAAAACCCACTCCTGGTCACTCTGACTGACTCTACCTTTCCTAATGCCTCCGTAACCATCTTCGGGCATAGCCGCGGGAAGTAGCTGTGCTGAGGGTGCTGCAGCACCCCCTGAAAAATCAGAATAAAATAATAATAATAATAATAATACACTACATAGCCAAAAGTATGTGGAACATCGTCGAACATCTCTTTTCAAAATCATGGGCATTAATAAGGAGTTCGTCCCCCCTTTCCTGCTATAACAGCCTCCACTCATCTGGGAAGGCTTTACACTAGATGTTGGAAAATTACTGCGGGGACTTGCTTCCATTCAGCCACAAGAGCATTAGTGAGGTCGGGCACTGATGTTGGGCAATTAGGCCTGGCTCGCAGTCGGCATTCCAATTCATCCCAAAGGTGTTCGATGGGGTTGAGGTCACGGCTCTGTGCAGGCCAGTCAAGTTCTTCCACACCGATCTCAACAAACCATTTCTGTATGGACCTCGCTTTGTGCACGGGGGCATGGTCATGCTGAAACAGGATAAGGGCCTTCCCCAAACTGTTGCCACAATGTTGGAAGGACAAAATCGTCTAGAATGTCATTTTATGCTGTAGTGTTAAGATTTCCCTTCACTGGAACTAAGGGGCCTAGCCCGAAACATGAAAAACAGCCCCAGACCATTATTCCTCCTCCACCAAACTTTACAGTTGGCACTATGCATTCGGGCAGGTAGCGTTCTCCTGGCATCCGCCAAACCCAGATTCGTCCGTCGGACTGCCAGATGGTGAAGCGTGATTTATCACTCCAGAGAACGCGTTTCCACTGCTCCAGAGTCCAATGGCAGCGAGCTTTACACCACTCTAGCCGACGCTTGGCATTGCGCATGGTGATCTTAGGCTTGTGTGCGGCTGCTCAGCCATGGAACCCATTTCATGAAGCTCCCGACAAACAGTTATTGTGCTGACGTTGCTTCCAGAGGCAGTTTGGAACTCGGTACTGAGTGTTTTAACCAAGGCCAGACGATTTTTATGCTCTACGTGCTTCAGCCCTCGGCGGTCCCGTTCTGTGAGCTTGTGTGGCCTACCACTTCTAGGCTGAGCAGTTGTTGCTCCTAGACGTTTCCACTTCACAATAACAGCACTTACAGTTGACCGGTGCAGCTCTAACAGGGCAGAAATTAGACAAACTGAGTTGCTGGAAAGGTGGCATCCTATGACGGTGCCAAGTTGAAAGTCACTGAGCTCTTCAGTATGGGCCATTCTACCGCCAATGTTTGTCTATGGAGATTGCATGGCTGCATGCTCAATTTTATACACCTGTCAGCAACGGGTGTGGCTGAAATAGAAAAATCCACTAATTTGAAGGCGTGTCCACATACTTTTGGCCATGTAGTGTTTCTATATTATTTTTTGGGGAAAATGTTTTATTTTCACAAAAGTAGTGCACTGGGCATTTAATAGTCCTGTATTAGCCATCAACCAGCACTTCTGCCATCTCTCGCCCTCGGTTCCATTCCAGCCATTACAATGAGCCCATCCTCCTATAGCTCCTCCCACCAGCCTCCGCTGCCATGTACTAGAGCTAGTGTGTACTATTTAGTTAGTGTTGTACTAGCTACCTAGCTCTCCTAGTTAGTGTGTACTAGCTAGCTGCACAAGCAACAGTGTTTAACATAACACCCTGGACCAGAGCTAGTGCGCCGACTGGTTTGCACATAGCACACTGACGCCCTGGAACAAAGCTACTGACTAACGCGTACGTGAGACCAACAAACGTCTACAGGTTGCACATTAGTGGCGGTCGGTGTGTTTAAAATGAGGGAGGATTATTTATTTTTTATGAGCATGGCCTTATTTCTATTACAGCATAATGGATGACTGTCGTTCATATTCCATTCACCCAGCTCAATGTAACATCGATAGGTTTAGGCTACTGCATGATACTCGAATTTTCCCTGTACCCATCATGAGGTGGCTACAACCTAGCTTATGAATTAAAATGTACAACGTAAGTGCATAGGTCGAGAGAATTTTGAGTAGTCAAGGTGACAGACAGTGGCACGTTCAACACCACCTTGCACACTCTTGCCTTCATCTACCTGATCTAGTGTAACCGGTGTGAAATGGCTAGCTAGTCAGCGGTGCGCGCTAGTAGCGTTTCAATCGGTGACGTCACTCGCTCTGAGACCTTGAAGTAGTTGTTTCCCTTAATCTGCAAGGGCCGCGGATTTTGTGGAGCGATGGTGCTTTGAGGGTCTGTTGTCGATGTGTGCAGAGGGTCCCTGGTTTAAGGCCAGGTTGGGGCGAGGAGAGGGAAGGAAGCAAAACTGTTACACTAGGGTGTAATCATTAGTCCAACAGTTGCAAATGAGAGTTTCCATTAGACAAATTCAGGTATGTTTCGTTCTGTTTGCTTCCGTTTAAGAAATGTTTTTCAACAGAATCGGCGGAATGAATACACCCCTGATCACACGCAAACACAGTTCACTTTCATAGCAGCCATTTAAAAACAGCATCATCACTTTTCTCCTTGTAAATATCATTCCTTCTCGCAAGTATCTACGCGCTCTCCTCCTCTCACCTTTTCCCTTCGCCTGTGCACAACACATCAGCTGAAAAAACCATTCCTAGTCAAACCATATCATGACTCCTAAACGCTACGCACAGTTTACATCATTGTCACCTCATAGTCAACATAGTTAATGGGACTAACGCGTTAGCAAACCCGCTACAATCATGCAGTACAGTCAGAACGCAGTTTCGCAGTTACACCTGCAGGCCCCGGTGGCAATAAATTAATAAAACCAAAAGCTTACCTTGAGTTCCAGTGTTAACATAACATCCCTCTCTGTTTGAGCTGGGTGTTTGAGTAAGTTAAACTAGCTAGCTGCATTCAGCTTGCAAAGTGAAAGTGAAAGTAAAAAAATATATACAACCAAATATAGCTAGCTGGTTCATTTTTACAATGCTGTTCCGTTTGGACCACATAACTTTTGTGAAAAAATTTATATATTTTTCATTTGTTTTGTATTCTATCAGAAAAAGGACATGATGACTTTCATAAAAACACATTGGTCAAACTCAGGCACTTAAATCCTAATAAATATAGACAGATCGCTCACACATGAACCATGGGATATGTCCACCGTTAGGGACATACACATAACTATCTGAAAGTGTTAACAACGCATGTATATATATAGATTTAGATTTTCTAAGACATCAAATGTCCCAGAACCAGTACTTCATTTGCACAAACATTTTCAGAATAAGACTGAATAACAACAGAATTTGGTCAACTTTTTTGCATATGTAGTTGACCCCTTCTATCTCTACAAGTTACGACAAAGATATACATAACATTTGATGGTATTGTTCAATTCTGATTTTAAAACACTGACTTAACAGGGTGGAATTAAGCATAACAGGGTTGATGGTCCTCCCCTTTGTCCTCTGAGGAGCCTCTACTGTTGCACATGCACATACCATTTGAGGTGCAAAAATAGAGCTTGCCAGCTTGTAGTCCTAAAACCCGAAAATAATGTCCCTCTGCTTCGTTCAGTCATCCCTATAGGAACAATTTATGGGGAAAGAATAGGGTTTTGGAATAAACGCTGAAAATAAGGTCTGAGGTTAACACAGGTTTAGGAGAACTTATACGTTTTGTTATATGAGATAATAGCTGTCGGTTAACATGACCTTTATGAATTATGTGATTTATGTGTATTTTATTATTAAATATTCTTAAAAATTCGAAAAAAGTTACGTTAGCTGATGAAGATTATCTCATTTAACAAAACTATAAGATCTACTAAGCCTGTGTTTCCCACAGATCTTATTTTAGGCATTTATCCAAAACGCCATTTATTTTACTCATAGGCTTTGTCAAATGAACCATGGCTGAGTCTACATAGACACGCTATTACTATTTCTCTCCACACCATCTGAGACGCAAGCGCATGCGCTTTGAGGTTCACAGACCAGCAGTGTCGGAGCGCATAATCTGCACCTGGATCAGGACAGTGCAGTATGGATTGTTTAAAAACTCTGTGGCTGGTTGCTTCTCAAAGTCTGTTCAAGAATTTACAAGACCCGTTTTGGGAAAACGTGTCGTTCAGTACAAACCGTCCCGTAACGTAGCAAACGTTCAAGCGAACTGAACGCACCCCATTTCTTTTTATAAGGCATTTTATTTTGAGAATGAGAAACACTCTTTTCACGCCACTTCGATACCGAAGTGACCTTTTCGTAGCAGGGTAGGAGACTGTGGTTAAGGTTAGAAAAAGGATTTGGGTTATCGAAAATGCTCTAACGTGCTGATAAAAAATCATCGTATCGTGTGAAAAGAGTAGCTGTGTTCGAATACCCATACTAACATACTGTATACTACATACTTAATGAGTATATACTACATACGATATACTATTAGTTCATTTTAGTATACTGTAAACGAACGGTATCTTTTCAGTTGAGCATACTAGCGCTTCACCCGTCTACCGGAAGTTGATGCTGTTGCTATGCAACCTCTTGCTAGCTTGTTAGCATAACACATTACTATCTAGACATTTTACGACTTCTGTGCCAACGTGCGCTCTGGGCTTTCGTAAATCCAGAGCGTTGTCAGATTGTCTGTTCCTAAATTCAGAGCGCACACTGGACGCTCTGGTCGAGGAGTAGGGTTGATCCGAGCGTTCTGACCTCACAACGGCAGTCAAGAACCCAAGCTAACTGGCTAACGTTGGCTAGCTTGCTAAATGAGAGAACACCTCACTCTTGACTATTCTACTCGCCCTAGCAGTGCTGTTTTCATGTTATCCAGAGCGTTGGTGACTGTAACTGTGCTGCTGGCAACAATTAAATTACGGTTTTTTTGCCGACGTTTATTGACACCGGTCATATTCAACCCGTGTTGAGCGTTCGTAAATTCAGCAGTTATTCTGCGCTCTGGCACACAGAGGAGTGTGTGCTCTGATTGAAATCGAGTAGATAGCCAAAATTAACAATGTCGATTGAGAACGCACAACGACTATACCACTTAGCTAAGAATGTTGTGAATAATCCAGTCAATAAACGTTAGTTAGATAGCATATAGTTAATATACTGCCTGGCAAATTCGATGTATTAGTATCCAACTAACGTTAGGTAGCTAGCTAACATACTGGTACATACTGCTGTAATGATATACTATGCGGTTCGTAAGGATAGCGTAGCTAACAAATTGTCGGCCAACATAACGTGTAACTTATTTGAAAAGTCATGACTTTATTACATTGCTCAACATTTTCTTAACATTTGTCATAATTAGTTAAAGCAATGAATTTGTATCCGCTCTCGTTGGACTTCAGCTGCATATTTTCCGCAATTTTCTTCAAATCTGAAAACGTTTTGAAACGAATATCATTTTCTGAAGAATTTAGTACGACATCCGGGAACTTTTGGCATACTAACCATATCCATACTATGACCATCATACTATATACTCAATTTACGTCACAAATAGATTGGTTAGTATGAGGATTCGAACACAGCTCTAGTGTTTCATTTTTGGGCAAGAACACTGTACTCCTTCTTCCGCATTGAATACATATCTCCGCCCATTTGTCATGATTTGGAGACTAACCACGCCCCAAAAATCTCACAGTAACCAATGAAAAGTCTCAAAATGATGCACCAACGCGCCTGCTCCGTAGACGATAACACGTGGTTCTTGGCAAACCACGCAGACATTGGTTTAATAATGGCGACTGATGGAGGCAGTTTTTCGTTGGGGCTACCCTGTGTTTTCTCTCCAAAGTCACGCCAATACCTGGCTATATGTGCTCAGGATGGCAGACTTCGTATTTGGAACACAGATATTAAAACGCTTCATCAAGAATACGTGCCTTCAGCCCACTTGAGTGCCACTTGTACCTGCATAGCTTGGGGACCATGCCGAAAGGCCAAGGTATGTGTCGGGGGAGGCATAGGCCCAGGCGATGCTGCTACGAAACAACTTTCTGATAACTTAATAAAAAATATGTGTTTAGACATTTACGTTATATGTATACTTGTGGTGGAATTTCGTTTACCATTTGGTTATGTGAGTTGTGTAGCAAAGTATTAGTCAATTTTAGCTTGCTGTAACTAGCTAACGTTACCTCAACTGTCCTGCAGGACGCACATGTTTGTCGCACATGTGGTCGCCCCAAATTGCCACGAGTCTCCTGTAATGTGTCATGATTCAGACTAAGAGAGACTAATAGTTCAAACAAATGCATATAGTAATAACGAATTTGCATTTGTAATGCGAATATGTTAAATGTAACTAGCGAACCGTAAAGGGTTAGTTATATTAGGACAGCTAAGCTAGCTAACGTTACCTATTCACCATGTATGACGCAGATTTTGATTTCAAAATCCAATTTTGTATATTTTCCAAAGCCCCACGGTAACGTAGAACAACAATACACGAGACTGCGGAGTTGTTTGCTTAGTCGGCAATTTTAATAGTATTGAATTGGACCAGACAGTAGAGTGGTTGACTTGACCACGTTTCACCACCTTTAACTAGCTAACGTTTCCTACTAGACTTGTCAGATTATTTCCCCCCCCCACCTTTATTTAACCAGGTAATCCAGTTGAGAACAAATTCTCATTTACAACTGCGACCTGGCCAATGGAAACGCACTTCACGCCACTTCGATACCGAAGTGACTTTTTCGTAGCAGGTTAGGAGAACTTAAGCACCAGGTTAGGATAATTAACGTAGCAGGTTAAGGTAAGGAACAGTGGTAGGGTTTGCGAAAATGCCCGCCTAACCTGCTACGACAATCACTTTATATGAAGTGGCGTGAAAAGTGTCCCTTGTCAGATAACTATCTATGTAACGTTACCCCCTTTAATATGGTTCTAGGTAGCACATGTTTTACTCTAAACGTGTAGCTAAGTAGAGGGATGGCTACACAAGTCACATGTTTTGAATTGTCAACATAAGCAAAATAGTTTTGACAACTTTGTGATTTAGCAGTTGCCTTAGTTGTGGTCTAGTCCATGATTTCGGGTTCCTGTCAATGCAAGGCTACCTGTCAACGTTAGCGATGACGACGATGAGTATGACATGTCTCCTAACGCACAGTAAGCGCCGACTCAAACTCTCATTAGACAGCTCTGCAAGCCTTAAATGTCAAAATACGTTTGTTACTCACCATATATGTAATTTCGCTGAGCAACTATCTACATTTACTCCTGTTACAACTGGTATGTACTTAAAAAGGTCTAGATAGAAATGCACAAGCAACCTAAAAAAGGACCTTTCGGCGCCTCCAGTAAATCACGTATTACTCATCACTCACAGGCTTTATTTATTATTTAGTTGCTTGTATATTTTTATTTAGACCTTTTTTGGAAGTACATACCGGCAATAACAGTACATTTAGATGGTTGCTCAGCGAAATTCCATATTTGGTGAGTAATTAATGTATTTTGACATAATATGCTTGCAGAGCTGTGTCATGGGAGTTTGAATCAGAGCTTCTCTTATACTCATCAACATCTCTAATGCACCGATACTGGGGCAGCTTCTACCCAAACTCAATCAACGATCTATATCCCGCTGGTTACATGACAGCAGAACAGATCAAGTGTTGTACCAAGGAAAATGAACGGTGTCCTCCTTTTGTTTTTATCAGTCAGTTAAAAATGTGATTTTAATAGTTATTATTGACTAATGTGCGTTTGTGCTACATGTGTATTTGTGCTACAGGAGGCACCTCAGCGGAAGAAGAGGAGATCGGAGGCAGGACATGTGGAGAAGCAGGCAGACCTGTTGGCTCTGGGCACGGCGGCGGGCAGCGTTATCATCTACAGCACAGTGAAGGGAGCACTGCACTGCACACTGGTAAGGAGTGGGATGTTGCGCCACTGTCATTGACCATTTGGGAAGTACCAAAAATCCTACAATTGAGTTGAATGTTGCTAGCTCAATACAACAAAATGGTTGCCTTATGGTTGGAAGTGGTACTTTTTCGGTTTGGGGTGGTATCCAAATTGTCATACCTTCACACTGACCTCATCGACCTTGTCCCGTACTGGGATATTCAGTAATACCGGCACTGAACACAAGTTGAACACGCTGTTTTCAACCCCTACTAATACTGTAATCCGAAGATTAGCAATGTTTACAAGTACATGTCAAATCCCATAGAAAATGCTAACTAAATGCCAATGAGCGCATTGCTAACATTTTGAACGGTTTCTGACCTAAACTATAAAAGTAACAAAAAAAATGCTGCAGTTCCCTGCATGCACAAAACAAATATTAGCCAGCAAGGCCCTTGATCCAGCAAGGGATTCTCTGCTGTTACATTTACATTTTAGTCATTTAGCAGACGCTCTTATCCAGAGCGACTTACAGTTAGTGAGTGCATACATTTTCATACTGGCCCCCTGTGGGAAACTAACCCACAACCCTGGCATTGCAAGCGCCATGCTCTACCAACTGAGCTAAATAATAATAATAATAATAATATGCCATTTAGCAGACGCTTTTATCCAAAGCGACTTACAGTCATGCGTGCATACATTTTTTTGTGTACATGTGGTCCCGGGGATCGAACCCACTACCTTGGCGTTACAAGCGCCGTGCTCTACCAGCTGAGCTACAGGGGACCAAGCGAATGCTTGATTTTGGACGATGCTAACCCCTTAGTTGGATAGCTAACTAGCTACTAAATTAGCTAACCAAATGCACAACGGCAGAGCATTTAGCACATTTTAGACAGTTAACTTAATAGTTAGAGATATATATCTCTATCTGGCAAACATTTTAGTTGTGAATTTCCATACTGTAATTAGATCGCCTGGTGCTGCACAACATTGAGTGACTCACAAGGCTCCGGACTCAAGTCGTTGTGCTTGTAAACAAACACCACATGACTGGACTACCGTAAGCTTCATAATAATGTGACCAGTAAAATGAAGAACGCTATGTTCTTTATCTCCTAATGTATTGCTCAAGTTCACTGGAGGTATTTACTTAAGTAGCTACAAATATTCACATTTATTAAACTTAAAAACCGTCCTGTGGCTTTTTCAAATACCAAGATTTATGGTATACCATCCAAGCCTAGTACTATAATATGCCGCAGTGTCATTTTTACCCTCAATCTTGCATATTGGCTATCATGAAATTAGTAGTGAAATGTCTGATACTGTGTCTATACCAATTGTGAACCCTATTAATCATTTCTCTCAATGTTCTATCACAGTATCAAAGATCATAGTTGACCTCTGCTCTCTCCCAGGACGGAGGTCACAGTGGCGGGGTGAACTGTGTGCAGTGGCACCCTGAGGACTGCCTGCTGTACAGTGGCTCAGACGACACACACATTGTGGAGTGGGACCTGCAGACGGGCAAGGCGCGCTGGTAGGTGCCGGTGGTGGGAAATGTAATGTCCTTTTAAAAACAGTGGTCTAAACGAAAAAGGGTTTTCTCTGCGACAGTCCTCCGTGGCTCAGAAGTAACACCTTTTGGGTAGATGAAAGGTCTGTTCTCCACCACGGGTTTCTCTCGCTGTAGAATCTGTTACATAATGTAAGACTACATTCACAATCCAATGTGCATTTGAAATCTGATTTACGTATAACTAGCCAGCCTTGCATGAGCCTTAGCATAACGGCTCATAGGAGCAGGATCCTATCTCCTGTTTCTGTGGGGTGATTTGATGTACAAGTACTGCCCTGGACAGGATGCTAGTCTATCGCAGGGCCGTTATAGTTGCGTATAACTCGTGGTCATTTCGATAGAAAACTGTGGTCCAACCACACATGCTTTTTGACCCGGTTAAAACTTCAAGTCACCTGATTCTTGATAGAAGTCTTGGGAGTTCATAAGCTTACAGGGTCTCTCAGCAGTATTGTCAGGAAAAAGTATTGTTGACCAACTAGGCCACTCATTGCTATATAGTGCCTTTTGGCAGATGAGGCCCTAGTCATGCTCACAACTTGGCCCCGATAATCGATCTGAGGTTGACTTAAGTTTCAGTAATTGGATATTTTTTGAATATGTAAATAAAAGGGATTGAGTTTTGTGTTTCTTACTCTATTTTATAGAAGACTCTATTTATTTTTCTTCGCAGTAAGTGGAAGGCAGATCGTGCCTCAGTGACCAGTCTGTGTGTGAGTCCGGATGGCAAGCTGCTGCTCTCAGCGGGACAGACCATCAAGATGTGGGACCTCGAGACCAAGGAGGTGTACCGGGTAAAATGCACTGCCTGGTCAAGCCGACATCTGCATTGACCATGCAGCATTTATGGTGATATGGCCTCTGCAGAAGTCAGGGCATTCATACTTCTTGCGCTTCATGTAGCAGAGCTGTTGTGAAGGAAGTTGTCAAAGAAATGTTTGTTTATACAGGACCTCCCATCCACACCTGTCAACCAATCATGTCAATACGGAGCTCTCCGCATTGTTACAGAATTTGAGAGGCACGCGGCCATGGGGTACGGAGCTTGATTTTCCTCTGCATGCCTCCAGAGGCTTCAATTGCGTCACACCCTCATACAAAGCCTCGGACCACATTTTCAGATCAAGCATATATTGGCTTTTATTAAGTGGGACCTGCCCAGACTACATACGCAGCAGTTACATGGCCTAGTGGCCTACATTCACATACATTTGTGTTGAAACTATCCGGGGGAACTGACACAAAGGGTCCTTTCATTTATATTTCCATGTAGCGGACGCTTTTACACCCTCGTAACAGTCAAATTCAAACTGATCCGTAGGCATGAGTAATTGGGTTGGGTTCAGCTGTCACCAAATGGAAGAAAAAAGTAAGAAGCTGGGACATGGCCAATAAGAGGACGACCTCTTCGTCAGAGCCTTTTTCGTTGTGTGCCGTAATGAACATGAGCCAGTTCAGTGAGTACGTCAAAACAGCCCCCCCTGTCTTTGGATCAAGATGTTTTCTCCAAACTTACACCTCCCACCTGTTTTCTCCCCCTCCATCCTCCTTCAGAAGTTCACAGGTCACTCCACTGCCGTGACGACCCTGCGCTTTGCCACCTCGCGGCCCCCGGATAGTAACGGCCTCTACTTCCTCTCCGGGGCGGCCCACGACAGACTCCTCAGCGTGTGGTGAGTACGGAACGCCACAGCGTTTAAAAAAAAAAAAGGGACAGCTTGATTGAATAAAGAACAAATGTTTTGACTTTCTATTGTTCACTTGCTATTAAGAACTCAAGGTTAGATCTACAAATTAACTAAGTAAAGTCAACTGGTTTGTCTTTGGGGTGACTCGTGTGCTGTATATATGCTACATCTTCATGTCGGTCTATCCACCCCTCAGGCAAGTCCGGGAGGATGGCAAGGACAAGAACTCTGTGGTGTCCTTCAACCTGACTGACGAGCCCCAGCACATTGACCTCTTCACCTCCAACAGCAAGGAAGAGGTGAGGCGACTGTGCCGCGCTGGAGGTTATGTGGAGTAGGGGGCTGGTTTTGACCAAGCTAGGTCCCTTGGTTCAAGACATTCCTTAGGAACTCCAGAGTGGTGCAGTGGTCTAAGGCACTGCATCGCAGTGCTAGCTGTGCCACTAGACGCGACCGGGAGACCCATGGGGCGGCGCACAATTGGCCCAGTGTCGTCCAGGGTAGGGGAGGGAATGGCTGGCAGGAATGTAGCTCAGTTGTTTAGAGCATGGCGTTTGCAACGCCAGGGTTGTGGGTTCGATTCCCACGGGGGGCCAGTATGAAAAATAAAAATGTATGCACTCACTAACTAAGTCGCTCTGGATAAGAGCGTCTGCTAAATGACTAAATAAAAAAAATAAAAACTGGTCTACGACAAGGGTGTGGGGGATGATTTGGGACTGGACCTCTAAGACACGTGCCTAATCCAATTTCTCCTTCTCCTAGGCGGTGAGGCTAGCAGTGGTGTGTAAAGACGGCCAGCTTCATCTCTTTGAGCACTTTCTGAACGGGTGAGTCTCTAACACCCCCCCCGGGAAAGACGACGTCTTCAAATGGCGCTGGCACACCAAGGATCATATCGTCATGTTCAACTTGATTTAAAGCCACATAGTATTGCCCTGTCACTGGGCAAGGCGGTGTCTTCTAATGGCACTGAGTCTTATATCTGACAGGGGAAGAGCGAACGAGTCCATATTCATCCCAGTCATCTCTATTCAGTGAGGAAAAAGGCTGGTTCATGCTATGGGCACAGTGATGTAGGGTAAAGAGAACGATCTATCACTCTTGAATCCCATCAAGTGGCGATTTTAAAACCATTTACTTAAATACTCATCTTAATTCAGTGTGGTAGTTACATTGTTATATTGTACTGACAACTGATACACATTACATGGTACACTACTTTGATACCTAGGTCATGTTCTGTAGGCATGAAATGGAAGATAAAGGTGAGGTGACCTCTGAACCTGTCCAATAGAAACATAATTATTCTCTTCTCTCTGTAGGCCTTGTAAGAAGCCCCTGTCCCCCTCCTGTACAGTGCAGATGTCTGGGGTGGAGGACAGCCCCCTGCCCGTTCCCCTGTTGGCTGCGGCCCTAACCACAGACACACACAGCCTGCTGCTTGCCTACGGCAACCACTTGCAGCCTGTCATGGAGAGAGTGGTGAGTGGTGCACACTTCAATTCAATACATGTGTATTCTCCAATGCGCAAATATTGTTACCTTTCAAATAGACTTTCACAGATGAATGTTCCAGCTAATAAACGGTTGTATCTTTTTTAAATCTAGGCTGGTGACAATAGGCTAGCAATATTCCTGAATTGAGTGTCATTGGCTTTTCAATGCACAGTTCACACTTTAAGAATGTTTTTGCTTTGGTTTGTACACTTCACCTCTTCCAAAGAAAGTTGCACCCGCTGTGTGATTAAGGTTAATTGGTAGACCTAAGTGATGGAATATTCTGCTAACATGCTACCTATTCCTGCCGTTAGGCACGGACAAATTATATCTTACTCGGTCAGTAGTATGAAAATATATTTTCACTCCTTACCGCAAATGCTGTCCTGTGCTTCACCCAGTCAACGGAGTGAATATGTTGTAACACAGCAGATAAAATACTATACATTTGTATGATTTATATATTTAAGAAAACAATTTTATAGTTTTACCTTTACTGACTGTTTGTCCCCTCCCTTTTCCCCTCCTTAAGGAGGTGAACACGGCAGAGAGACACGTCTGCCTGACCCGCGATGTCCACACCACCCTCTCCCTCGCCATGGAAATGACCGTTTCCAAGGTAATGCCCAGCGGCAGCGATTTGGGCTTTTTTTACTCTTCTGAGCCAGTGGCATGGCCACATTCCTGTTACGTTGCTCAATTAACTTACTGAAAATTTCAGAGCATGAATTTCTTTCCATATTTGTTTCTTTCAACACGCCCCCAATCCCTGAAAGCTTGTGTTGTTTTCCAACAATTTTACATATTGATTGGGGAATGGGTCATTGAAATTGAGTGGTTTGGTAGGTGAAAACTGAAGAACAGTCAAATGACTGCATACGCTCTTGTTTCAGGTGAAAACCCCAGTAGTTAATGCCAAGAGCAAAGTCCTAGTCCCTGGACTTTCCGGTCACCAAGCGCATGTCCAAGGAACGCTGGGATCCGAGAAGAGAAAGGGCACAGACGCCAAAGAGGTATATTGTCATACATAAACCTGGACCAAGACCATCTAGGCCTTCCCTCGAGATAGTGTTTCTTGCTCGAAAATAGATGGATCCAACTTGCCCCTCTCTTAACTCTGTTGGCCTTAGCCATAAAAACCTTGACTATTTGAAGTTTTAGATTTGAAGTAATCTCGGAAACCCACAACTAAAATCTTGTGTAATTGCGTCAGATGCTCAATTAAGTTCTGGGGGCAGGCGTGTTGAAGGTTCTAGAACGGGAAGCGGAAGCAGGGCGGTAACTCCACCGCCTCTCTTTGCAAGTCTGTGGGCCAAATTTCCCCTCCCTTTCTGAAATTTGAAAGATGCAAACAACTTCGGAATTGTGATTTGTACAAATGATCACTGACAAAATCTGCGCACGGTAACAAAGTTCCTCGTTAAGGCGTCTGCATACTTCAGTTCGGCTGGCGCCTAACCGAACGAGTGTGCTCGCAATACTCTCTTAAGACCTTTGCTTGAAAAATGAGAAAAAAAGAAGCAATAGTATGGTTTGTCAATTTGAGACACCGTAACCAGTATACACTTCCTCAAAATAGTCAGAATTATCCGTCATTCATTGACATTTTTGCCAAGGAGATCTTATTCTTATTTTACGTCTATCTAAAATGTTTGGTACAGTGTTTCTCAATGAAAATATGTGCATGAAAACAAGTAGTCTCTTGTTGAATGACAAGCCTTTATGAAGAATCCCTACTGTTGACCAATCACCTACCGATTTTAAACCTTCTGACTTCAGCTTGCCTCCAGAACAAATTGTGCCCGAACAGCTGAAAAAACCCTCACCCAAGTCCAAAACGAATAATGGCTTGGGTTCTGAAATCTCCATCGCCCACTTATTGTCATTTTGAGTGTTTGAGCTAGTAATGTATCAATATTTATCGTTTACAAATTAGCTATGACATTGCCAATGAATATATATATATATATATATATATATATATATATATATATATATATATATATATATAGAGCACAACTTTGGATTTCACCCCCATTTCAAAATCGAGTGCTTTTTAAGTTTAGTGAGCTTATTTTCTCCTCCTGCTTTGGCCTTGCAGTGTGCCTTGCAAAGTGATTGCTGTCGTTGTTATGAAATTATCAACTTCACCCTGTATCTAAAAATGACCGTACACTGATTGATTGTTTAAAGCAAAGCTATTGCTGATGGTGCACCTGAGCAATCAAAATAAAATCTGTTGTAAGCCCTGTTCAGCAGGTATGGTAAGAGTACCTGTTAAGCCCACATACCCACTAAGCCCAGTTCCTCCTTTGATTCAAATAAACAATTTCTGCTGTTTAAAAAAAAAAAAAAATTTCAACTAATCCCACTAGTGGCCAATTTCAAAGCTGCTGAAACTTTGGTTGAGTCTACCCTCAACACATTTTCCGGATATTTTTAGTACCTTCTCAAAGTATGATCACTTATCTAAAATTAAGAGATTAATGTGCTGATACAGTGCATTCGGAAAGTATTCAGACCCCTTCACTTTTCCACATTTTGTTACGTTAGTCTTCTAAAATGGATTAAATATTTTTTCCTCAATCTACACACAATACCCAATAATGACGAAGCGAAAACAGGTTTTTAGTCATTTTTGCAAATTTATAAAAAATAAATAACTGAAATACCTTATTTACATAAGTATTCAGACCCTTTGCAATGTGACTCGAAATTGAGCTCCGGTGCATCCTGTTTCCATTGATCATCCTTGATGTTTCTACAGCTTGATTGGCGTCCACCTGTGGTAAATTCAATTGATTGGACATGATTTGGGAAAGGCACCACAGTTGACAGTGCATGTCAGAGCAAAAACCAAGCCATGAGGTCGAAGGAATTGTCTGTAGAGCGCCGAGACAGGATTGTGTCTAGGTAGAGATCTGGGGAAGGGTACTAAAAAATGTTTACAGCATTGAAGGTCCCCAAGAACAGTGGCCTCCATCATTCTTAAACGGAAGAAGTTTGCAACCACCAAGACTGAGAGACTAGTCAGGATCGAGGGAAAGATAACAATAACCTAGCAAATAGGTTCACTCAACTAATAAAGCGTAACGTCGCGCAAGCCATTTTAGCATTTGAATGCTGAAGGTGCCGCGCAGATGTGTAAGCTCAGGAACAGGCCGCCTACATTGTTAGTCAGCGCACGAAGCTGTGCTGCTGATATTCCCTGGGGTTGTTTGGCAGGCAAAATGACTTGTAGATCAATGGCTGTCAACAGTTACATGCTTATTTCGCCACTGAAAGAGAGGACTCATCAGTTGTCACAAGGTATTTTCGGAAGGCAGAAATTAAGAAAGATGAGCAAAACAATTGTGGATCAGTGAATCGTAATGTTTGAATCTATTTTTCTGACCGATGCGTGCTACATTTGGATCGGTATTGGGTCCGCGGACCGATGCATCTTAAACATTTGAATCGGGGACCGATGCATATCGGTGAATTGTTACATCCCTAATATATGCCATTTAACAGACTATTTTATCCAAAGTGACTTAGTAATGTGTGCATACATTTGACGCAAGGATGGTACTGGGAACTTAACCCACTATACTGGCGTTGCAAGCACCATGCTCTACCAACTGCGCTACAGAGGAACTGTTGCTGCCATCAGGCATGGACGAATTCTGTGTTACTCTGTCAGTAGTAAATGCAGTCAGACACCATGCAAAAGTATCCTTTCACGCCTTCCTTAAGAAGGGTGAGTGCTGTCCTGTGCCTTACCCAGTGGAGGAGTGAATACATTGTAGCACAGCAAATAAAATACTATATAGCTCTTCCTTCATGTATCTGTTAGCTGCAGACTTGCTGAGTTGCCGCCCTCATTTTAATTATGTTTACCCTTCTGCTGCTACTCCTTTTCATCTTCAGATGTCTATAGCGGAGCGACTCGGCGAGATTGATCTGTCAACGGAGAAGGGGGGCGTCAAGGGGGCCCCTTCTCTGCAGACTGACAACTTTGCGGTGCTGCTGGTGCAGGGTCTGGAGAGCAAGGACGCCAACATCCTTAATGTGAGTGTACCCTTTTTTTGGGGCTACAATAAGGCACTAGCAACACACCACAATAAGATCTCTTTGGTTTTGAGTTAACCCCCTAAGGTTGATGTCCGTGCCCCCGTAACAATCAGACAGTTTAAGCTATAGATCTCACAAACTCGTCTGTAGCTTCCGAACGGTTTGGCCTACCCGCTATTATGACCCCTCTATGGAAAGGGCAATCTTAAAAATTCAAAATCAAATAGCAAAATTATCCTTGGTATGACCTTCTTAAAACAATTCCATATAGCTTAGTAGAACCCCCCCCCCCTCTCCCGGCTTAGGCTCTTATGGGTTAAATAATGGGTTTGTGGTATCAAAAGGCTCCAGTGATGATGTGATGTCAAAACAAATTATTCCCACATTAGTAATGATTGCGAATGCGTGATGCAAATTATTTTTGAGGTCTAAAGAAAAAGGAGCTACATGAGTACCTTGTACTGTTTACCTTGTCAACTCCCACAGTTTTGATCTTGGCATTGATCTTGAGTTTTATTTCTTGCTGATTGAATGATGGTAAATTGGTTATGGAGTTTATTGGATAGTAATATCCCAGACAGTTCTGCTCCTTATTGAAATTGATTTAGAATTAACATTCTTAATAGCACTTGCTGCTATTGGTCTCTCCTGACATTGGTCTCTCCTCCGCCCCACAGAAAGTGTTTCAGACCCGGAAGGACATCTTCATAAAGAAAACGGTTGCACGGTTACCCCTCCCTGCCGTCTTGCCATTGGTGGAGGAGATCACCAAGAGAATGCAAGGGCATCCATACACGTAAGTGAACACCTCCGAATCTGTTATCAGATATGGTCAGATCTCTATAATATCAGCATTGACATGATGAATTTTAATATTAATTGATGCTAAAAGTAAGATTAACAGTAAATGTTGTGCTGCTAACTGTATATTTCAAGTCAGGATTTCATCTGTAATACCCATTTTGTTCAGTATCTTCTTTGTAACTTAACATCAATATTACCTTTTTGGGTAGTTGTTGTTAAATCCATTGGGCGTCATTCCTAAATCCTAACCCTGATCTTGTTGCCCAAAGTGAACCTAACTGCACCCCTACTAAACTCCTCTCTCCTTTTCCCCTTTGTCCTACAGGGCAGTGCTGATGGTGCGATGGCTCAAGGCTGTTCTCATGCAGCACACCTCCTACTTATGCTCTGTGAGTCTATCTATGGGTGTCTTCATATATCGTCTTCAAGCTTCAGGTCCAAACATAGCTTGACCAGGGGAATGAATAGCAGCAATACTGTTACGCTCTGCTAACCAGTAGCTCTATAATCATATGGGAGTTGTCTTTTGTGTTTGAACAGTTTTGAATTCCTTGCTCTTGAGAAAAGTTATAGTTATGCACATCATACTCAGATTGTTATTGACAGAATGACCGAGCCAACATTTAATTTTCCTGTAAACAAATCCATGGAATAATGCTTTCATAAATAATGATCTATGTGTGTTCTATCCTCTACCAGTTGCCAGACCTGGTGTTTCAGCTAGGAGTGCTGTACCACATGATTGAGAGTAGAGTCAAGATGTTCCACAAGCTGACAAAGCTGCACGGCAAGCTCTATCTGCTCATGACACAGGTACGTCTCAGCAGAACTTGTAGCAAACATTCGTTTTTCTTTCACAAATGATTGCCAGTGCCGTTCCCATAAACTCTACGCACAGATGGGTCCAGAAACTAGGCCTACTTATTGAAAAGCCATGATTTAATTGACCAGATCATTCAGGTGTGCTAATGCTGGAATAACCCAAATAAGTAGAACTGGTTGGGGATACTCGAGAGTTTTGGGTAACAGTTTGAGATGGCTGGTAAGACAGTGATGCCAATACTACCCTGTATCGAAAGTGACTGGCCTTTTTGATGGCCAGGTCATTGATAGTACAGTGAAAAGAGAGCCTTTCCCTGTGTTTGATGCGCCCTTTGTCCCTGCCGAACCCTAGTTATCTCAGAATTAAATTGTAAGTGTTTTTCAAGTTTATTCGCCAGATCTGGTGTGCTAGAATGGCACGGGACAGTAGGGTTGGGCGTCGTCAACGTTTGTCCTATTATGATTATGGACCCATAAAACATTGTGATATACGATGCTATCGCCCCTATTGTGGAGAGGGGAGATGTATTTAAAAAAAAAAAAAATAGAAATAAAATCAGCTATAGTGTGAAATTGAATGCAATGGACGAATCATGATGGATGATAATGTTGAAAGTCTGGGCAGAGGCTAAGTGCAGGCAATGTCAAATATTTTCTAATATTCCTTTCTAGTGGAGGATAAGAACAGGTTTGTGACTGTGTGGCAGATGATGGAACAGTGACTATCTGAGGAACGGGCTTGCAGGAGTGATCTCGGTTATAGACCTACATGGATGGGCTGGATAGAAGCAGTCTACAGTCTTAAGAACTGGGTAGTAATTGCTACACTACATGACCAAAAGTATGTGGACACCTGCTCGTCGAACCTCTCATTCCAAAATCATGGGCATTAATATGGAGTTGGTCCCCCTTTGCTGCTATAACAGCCTCCACTCTTCTGGTAAGGCTTTCCACTATACAGTGCATTCGGAAAGTATTCAGACCCCTTCACTTTTTCCACACTCTGTTACGTTACAGCCTTATTCTAAAACTGATTAAATCTACACACAATACCCCAAAATGACAAAACGAAAACCGGTTTTTGCAATCCTTGCAAATTTATAAAAAATAAATACCTTAAGTATTCAGATCCTTTGCTATGAGACTCGAAATTGAGCTCAGGTGCATCCTTTTTACATTGATCATCCTTGATGTTTCTACAACTTGATTGGAGTCCACCTGTGTTAAATTCAATTGATTGGTGAAGGAAAACACCTGTCTATATAAGGTCCCACAGTTGACAATGCATGTCAGAGCAAACACCAAGCCATGAGGTCGAAAGAATTGTCCGTAGAGCTCCGAGACAGGATTGTGTTGAGGCAAAGATCTGGGGAAGGGTACCAAAACATTTCTGCAGTATTGAAGGTCCCCAAGATCAGTGACCTTCATCATTCTTAAATGGAAGGAGTTTGGAACCACCAAGACTCTTCCTAGAGCTGGCCCCCCGGCCAAACTGAGCAATCGGGGGAGAAGGGCCTTGGTCAGGGAGGTGGCCAAGAACCCGATGGTCACTGACAGAGCTCCAGAGTTCTTCTGTGGAGACGGGAGAACCTTCCAGAAGGTCAACCATCTCTGCAGCACTCCACCAATCAGGCCTTTATGGTAGAGTGGCCAGACGGAAGCCACTCCTCAGTAAAAGGCACATGACAGCCTGCTTGGTGTTTGCCAAAAGGCCGCTAAAGGACTGACCATGAGAAACAAGATTCTCTGGTCTGATGAAACCAAGATTGAACTCTTAGGCCTGAATGCAAAGCGTCATGTCTGGAGGAAACGTGGCACCATCCCTACAGTGAAGCATGGTGGTGGCAGCATCATGCTGTGGGGATGTTTGTCAGCGGCAGGGACTGGGAGACTAGTCAGGATCGAGGGAAAGATGAATAGAGCAAAGAACAGGGAGATCCTTGATGAAAACCAGCTCCAGAGCGCTCAGGACCTCAGACTTGGGCGACGGTTCACCTTCCAACAGGACAATGACCCTAAGCACACAGCCAAGACAACGCAGGAGTGGCTTCGGGACATGTCTCTGAATGTCCTTGAGTGGCCCAGCCAGAGCGCGGATTGAATACTTTCCGAATACACAATGTTTGAACCTTGCTTTGTGCACGCGGGCATTGTCATGCTGAAACAGGAAAGGAGAACTGTTCATCGGGAGCTTCATGAAAGCAGCCGCACACAAGCCTAAGATTACCATGCGCAATGCCTAGGGTTGGCGGGAGTGGTGTAAAGCTCGCCGCCACTGGACTCTTGAGCAGTGGAAATGCCTTCTCTGGGGTCATTAATCGGGCTTCACCAGCTGGCAGTCCAACGGACACTGGCAGTCCGACTGACAAATCTGGGTTTGGCGGATGCCAGGAGAACGCACGTTAGTCTTATTCTAAAATTGATTAAATTGTTTTTTCTCCCCTCATCCATCTACACACAATACCCCATAATGACAAAGCAAAAACAGGTTTTTAGATTTTTTTGTTGCAAATGTATTACAAATAAACTGAAATCATATTAATACGTAAGTGTTCAGACCCTTTACTCAATATTTTTAAGCACCTTTGGCAGCGATTACAGCCTAGAGTCTTCTTGGGTATGACGCTACATGCTTGGCACACCTGTATTTGGGGAGTTCCTCCCATTCTTTCCTGCAGAGCCTCTCAAGCTCTGTCAGGTTGGATGGAGAGCGTCGCTGCACAGCTATTTTCAGGTGTCTCCAGAGATATTTGATCGGGTTCAAGTCGGAGCTCTGGCTGGGCCAATCAAGGACTTTCAGACACTTGTCCCGAAGCTCTGAAATGCACTGTCAACTGTGGGACCTTTTATATAGACAGGTGTCTTTCCAGATAAGGTCCAATTAACTGAATTTACCACAAGTTGTAGAAACATCTCAAGGATGATCAATGGAAACAGGATGCACCTGAGCTCAATTTCGAGTCTAATAGCAAAGGGTCTGAGTACTTATGTAAATAAGTTATGTTTTTTAATACATCTGCACCAAAAAAAACTGCTTTGTCGTTATGGGGTATTGTGTAGATTGGGGAGGGGGGCAATTTAATCAATTTTAGAATAAGGCTGTAACGTAACAATGTGGAAAAAGTCAAGGGGTCTGAATACTTTCCGAATTACGTGTATGTATATACACATACATAGTACCAGTCGATTTGAGTAGGTGTCCAAACTTTTAAGGGTTCTTTATTTTTACTATTTTTTACATTGTAGAATGATAGTGAAGACATCTCAACTATGAAATAACACATGGAATCATGTAGTAACCAAAAAAGTGTTCAAGACATCAATATATTTGAGATTCTTCAAATAGCCACCATTTGCCTCTGACAGCTTTGCACACTCATGGCATTCTCTCAACCTGCTTAACCTAGAACGCATTTCCAACAGTCTTGAAGGAGTTCCCACATATGCTGAGCACTTGTTGGCTGCTTTTCCTTCATTCTGCGGTCCGACTCATCCCAAACCATCTCAATTTGGTTGAGGTCAGGGGATTGTGGAGGCCAGGTCATCTGATGCAGCACTCCATCACTCTCCTTCTTGGTCAAATAGCCCTTACACAGCCTGGAGGTGTGTTGGGTCATTGTCCAGTTGAAAAACAAATGATAGTCCCACTAGGACCAAACCAGATGGGATGGCGTATCGCTGCAGAATGCTGTGGTAGCCATGCTGGTTAAGTGTGCCTTGAATACTAAATAAATGTCACCAGCAAAGCACCCCCACACCATAACACCTCCATGCTTTACAGTGGGAACTACACATGCAGAGATTTTCCATTCACCCACACCGTGGTTTGATCCAAAAATCTATTTGGACTCCAAGCCAAAGGGCACATTTCTACCGGTCTAATGTCCATTGATCGTGTTTCTTGGCCCAAGCATGTCTCTTCTTATTGGTGTCCTTAAGTAGTGGTTTCTTTGCAGAAATTCGACCATGAAGGCCTTACTCACACAGTCCCCTCTGAACAGTTGATGTTGAGATGTTTCTCTTACTTGAACTCTGAAGCATTTTTTTGGGCTGCAATTTCTGAGGCTGGTAACTCTAATGAGCTTATCTGCAGCAGAGGTAACTCTGGGTCTTCCATTCCCGTGGCGGTCCTCATGAGAGCCAGTTTCATCGTACACTTGATGGTTTTTGCGACTGCACTTAACTTTCAGATTCCTTAATTTTCAGTATTGATTGACCTTCATGTCTTAAAGTAATGATGGACTGTCGTTTCTCTTTGCTTATTTGAGCTGTTCTTGCCATAATATGGACTTGGTCTTTTACCAAGTCACAACACAACTGTCACAACACAACTGATTGGCTCAAACGCATTAAGGAAATAAATTCCGCAAATTAACTTTTTAAGAAGGCACACCTGTTAATTGAAATGCATTCCAGGTGATTACCTCATGATGCTGGTTGAGAGAATGGCGAGTGTGCAAAGCTGTCAAGGCAAAGGGTGGCTATTTGAATCTCAAATATAAAATACATTTTGATTTGTTTAACACGGTTTTGGTTACTACATGATTCCACATGTGTTATTTCATAGTTTGTCTTCACTATTATTATTCTACAATGTAAAAAAGTGCAGTCCTGTGCTCAAATGACAATGCCCTCATTGGACAAATTAAACTGTCCAGTCAGTGTTTCCCCACTTGTGACAACCACTGTCTCTAAACCATTTCTCCCTTCTCTCCACCAGGTGGTGACAAGCGACAGCGGCATCAAAGACGTGGACCACACGGCCAAGCTGGTCTACGAGGAAGGTAATGGCCGCACTGCTCACTTTGTTTTTTTTCTATTTTCTCTTTCTCTTCGTGCATTCACTCACTCTGCATTTCAGTTCCTTTAAGTGGCTTTTTCCCTTCATATCCTTTACTTCATTGACACTGATTTGAAAACACAGGATAAGCAGGAGAGCAATTTTTCATCGAAGTACAAATGAAGTGAGGAAAGAAGCAATTTTGATGCAG